GAAATTGTTTAGGCTTTGGATTTCTTCTCAATTAGGACTCTTCCATCTGCCAAAACAGGATTAGATTTTGATTTGTATGTCAGGAAAGTATCTGAACTGAGCCCATGCAAGTGATAGAGACTGGCTGGGGTTCTCAACTTAAGACAGCACTTAATTCGCAGCACGGGCGTACTGTACGGCAAGGTCGGGGCATGCCAGAGCCTGAGTTCTAAGGATGGTTCAGCACGGGTCGTGCTCAACAGCACGTCTAGAGAAGAATCTGTGGCACGGGCGTGCCCCATAGCACGGCTAGGGCGTGCTAGGCTCTGAGTCTCTAGGATGAAATGCATCGCCTAAGCGCACCTTTGTGTTGATGTCCTCTTTAGGCACGGGTGTGCCAGATAGCACGGTCAGGGCGTGCTAGAGTCTGAGTCTCCACTTGATTTTCCTTGAGTCCAGTACGGGCGTGCTCAGCGAGTTACCTGTTTAACTCGCAGGTTTTGAGTTTGGACCGTAGAGAGTCAGCTTACAACTGCTGCAGTTCATCTGTAGAAGACTCAGTCTCTTCAAAGGTCAGCTACTCAAACGGATGTGTATTTTTTGTTTTATCCCTTTTCAAGGCATATGTACAGGGCACAACAGTTGGGCCCATTTCATTTTGACACTAAGTTATCATGTTTTTTAAATATAAATAACAATTATTTTTGTATACAACATCAGCATGCTATTATATTCGAAATATACATTATGAACTTCAGCATGGTCAGGCCATACAGTCAACGCAGTTTGGACTTCAGCATGTCAGGCCATACAGTCAACCAGTTTGTAGCGTCTCAACTCGGTTTATTCGGGTTTACGGGTGGACCGGGAAGGGATGTTACACCCCCCGTATATACCTGATGAATTATGATATGGATGATATGGCAAAATCACAAGGTGACCTCCTGTTGGTAATGGAAAAGAAAGAGAGAATTGAAAAACAATGTAAGGACTGGTCAAGTGAGGAATAGACCAGTTGGCCATATATAAGGATTGGCTCCCTAGTGCACACGTATGAAATTACAAGCTATATGTGAGAACGGCTTGTCAGGGGTTTTATGACGCTATTGACCAATCTCTATTTGATGTGATTACTTGAAGGTAATATTATTTATGAATACTGATGTTGTGACATGTATTTGATTGGACGAGTGTTCATCATAATAAATGTGGAAAGCATTTTGCGTGATCGTTGAATTATGCATTATTTATTATTCTTCACTGAGTTTGTGAAACCCACCCCTTCCTTAAATTTTTCCCAGGAGGTAGACAAATCGTTGATCCAGTTAAGCTCTGCTTCTTTCTCCGCAGAGTTATAATAGTTATTTCTAGTTTTTTTATAATATACACTGTTATGTATAAAATGTATCTACTGATCTACATCTACTTACTAAGCTCCGCAGTTAGAGAGTCTTATGTCACAATTTATCATGTAAAAACTATGAATTTGTTGTTCAATAAATTTGAGGAGCTTCTATTTGTCCCTCTAAAGGTACGATTGGACTAGTTTGCTCAAATTATGGACAACGTGAATGACATGTTAAATACAGGCTCGAGCTATGAATTATGTGAAATATTAAAACTAGGCCAGAGATACGAATTGACAGTATGGCTTAACAACGTCGCATTATAGGCTTATTGTTCCTAGAGACAGTCTAAGGAGATGAATTTTGTGAGTCAGGTTTACTACAAGCCTTGGGCTTTAAACTTAACTGGGCTCTAATGCCGGTCCGGTCATTGTTTTAGGTCGTGACAGAAACATAATCATTTTTCATGCTAATTCATTTATTTTTTCTTAGAAAATTAGCTCACTATTTTTCAAGGATTATCTATTGTGAAATATAATGCCTTTTTTTAAAATCAATTTAGGAACTTCAATTAATAAAATTGAACTTATTCTCCTTAGTAAGTTACTTTATTAGAACTGAGAAAATTGAGTAATGAAAAAAAAATATGTATGGAAACCTTTTGTAGAAAAAACGGCTATTTTAATCTTCTATGATACAAGTAAAGATATTATAAATATATACTAGCAAATTTGATTTTATCGATCACAATTAAAATTTAATATATGTATCTTCACGCTTGTATTGGGAGTAATATTTAGGTGAAACCTTCCTAGCAGTGGAATTCCAAATTTTAATAACATCTTAACTTTATAGGTAAAATTCACTTGAAAATACAGTCAATTTCTGCTGATTCAAATGTCTGTTGATTCTCTGTGATACCGATGAAGAGAATTTTTTAAAAACTATCAATAATCAAAACTTCATATACTATTATTATGTAGAACTTTTAGAAAGTAGAGAAATTTCCATTGAAAAAAGATATTTAAAAAAAAAAGTAGGAAATTAAGATTAGGTAAAATTTTAATCTGAATTCCAAAAATAAATAATATAAATGTTGAGACTTGGATAGTAATTAGCCAAAAAGATGGAAACCCTTCACATGCAAGAGAGTCTATTAAGACCGTAGCAAAATGGAAATTTCTTATCCAAATATTAATAGCCAAATTGAAAACGACGACTCCACCAATTCTTGACGGCTCAGACATTTTTTTGGAAAGAAGAGCACATGTCTTGATTCTTGAAGAATCTTCCTTTGCTTTTAAGTGTTATGTTGAGCCATTTCAACCTTTTCTTTTCTTTTCTCTTTTTAATTTAATCTATGTGTCTAAAATATATATATTTAATCTATGTGTCCTTAAAATATATATATATATATATATTATATTTATATATAATAATATATATTATATATATATATTTGTGTATATATTTGTGTATTACTTGACAAATAAATTTATAAATGCTAGAAATTTCTAGTGAGAAATACAGGAAAAGTTAAATAAACAAATAAAATCAAAATCAAAATAAATGAAAAATATTTATAAATAAATAAGGATGAAATTAAATTGTTGATTTAACCATTAATTTTCTTTTAAAAAAATTCAAAGTTATTCATTTAATCTATCTTTTCACATATACAACTTTATATTTTAAGTATTGACGGAAGCAAGGATGCCAGTGGTGGCCACTGCTCTCCTAACTAAATTTTTTTAAAGAATATTTTACCCTTTAAAATTTATTTCCGGACTGTCATTAGAGACCAAATATAAGAGTTTATAAAATAAAAACTCCATATCTGATATATATTAAAAATAAAATTTTAAAATTTTACGGGACACGACACCCTTGCCGAACTCCTCGTACATTGATTATTGTTTTTATTGAATGTTCCAAAATTTTACCGATACATTGTATTAACACATTGACTTTTCCAGTTGTAGACAAGGAACTATTTCAAAACGTGGCAAGAATTGAGAGCGTTGCAATAAAACACTACAAAACGACATAAAATCATATGGAGCAAGTCAATGGCAAAGACCATATAAAATCACATGCATGTTTAGGTTCAAAAATACTTGTACATAAAAAATGAAAAGGTATTAAAAAGTTTTGGATATATTAAATGAATTTAGGCAAAAAAATTTGACCTAATAATGTGTATTTATTATTATTATTTTTTTTTTTGGCATTTAGAGTACAAAATGGTAGTCAAATTGGGTATTCTCTCATCTTGACGATCCATAAGATGACAAAAACCAAGACTCATCCTTGTCCTTTGGCCAGCCTAGGAGAAGCATATATGAGTATTCATTGTTCACTTAATCTCTATCTAACCCTAGCTAGCCACAAAATATAAGTCAACAAAATACACACTAATGCATAGTAATTTCCAACTCCCGGTCGGTTAAAAGTAGAACATACATATATATAATCTTTCATGATTACCTATCAGTACTGATGCAAAATATAAATAATTAATCATATCTGATTGATTTTCTCACTTTTATTTAAAAATATATAAAATGTAATTGAAAAGTCTCGATTCGACTCGAGAAAAATTAACTCTATCGGTCCGTTAAGCCTTCAACCAACTAAAACAAAAAAGATTATATATTTGTATGGTTTTTTTTTTTTTTTTTTTTTTTTTTTTTTTTTGTTAAAAAGGAAAATGAGTTTTCCCTATAATACATAACTTAAATTACATAACTATCTCCAATTAATAAAAAGTGTCGTAGATAGGAAAACTCGAAGGGATTGATAAAGACAAATTATACCTATTTGGTGAGTATATCAATGTGTTACAAAAACTCTTTTTAGGATTTGTTTGTGATTGAATTTGAACGTGCTTTTTTAAGTTGTCATTTTTCATTTCAATTTTGCATGAGGCAGCCATTAAAATAATGTTTGGGCCTTTAAGCCCACAGTAACGTAAAAAGGCTCCTTCAGCATTGGTGGGCCAGTCCCGATTGCTTATTTTTGCAAGTTCCTCTCCAAGTGGTTCTAACATTCCATTTTGGCCTAATACATTACTTATGCATAACATTACAATTTCACTCCACTCCAATTTCACCTTTCCGCTAATTTCACCTTAAATTTTAATCTTATTATTTTAATATAATAGTAAAGAAAACCTCTATTATTATTATTTTTTAATATTTTCAAGTTATTTCTTTAATTGATAAAAGTAATAAATAAAAATGCATTATTTTATACAATTTTTTTTTAAAAATAGAGTACTTCTTAAACAATGAACTAATTATTATTATTGTTTAATTTTTAATGTAAATTTTGCAAAGGTTATAAAATATATTTAAGAAATTTGCAAATGGGATAAAAATAATAGATATAATATTATATATATAATATATAAAAACTACTATGAATTATTGACTCATAAACCTATTAATGCATCATATCAAAACAGTAGAAATATATATAAAACTACTATGATATTATTTGACTCATAAACTATTAATGCATCATATCAAACAGTAGAGAGAAAATATTTAACACAGGATAGCACAAATCAAAGAACATCAACAAAACTGAGGCTGAAGATTGATAAGGATACACGCACCACCCCTTAAAAACCTTGGCAAAGAATCAACTTTAGGTATGTAAAGCTGGTCATAATTGAAACAAAAAATAAAGCTCGATGGATGAATATTTTGAATCATAAGGGCAGAAAAATGTATTTCAAGAACATGATGAACCAAAATGATGAGATTATTTTACTCATGTATTCAACTATTTACAAAATGACAGTATGTTCATATTTTGTTCTAGATTTTAACCTCTCTGATGTGAGAGAAAATTCAATACCTGCGGTGCCATGCTCAAGTTGTATTATGGTTGCCCAGTAAGTGGGCGTGACAAAACTGCCATCAAATACTTGCAACTTGAGGTTCTTTTTCTGAATGGCAATGGCATTCTTTCCTCCTAAAGGACCAAGTGACCTGAAGAACAGTACCACATGAAGAAATACATGAAGATGGGCCAGTTGTAAACACTGATGAAAGTCTCATCCACCTATGTTTCATGAGAGAAAAAAAAGCTTATTGTTAACTTACTGATAATTATCACTTAATGAATTATTACTTTTATAATTTGTAGATAATCATCCACCTATTGTATTTTTTCAGCATCAGATATCTTTTTAAAGAAATATAAACTGCAAAGAAATGACAATGTTGAATATGGTTGTTTTGGCTGGTTTCCTTTTGTTTCTAGGAGAGAAATGAGAATATTCTTGTATAAGGGAAAGCCCTAGATATGGTTTTTGTTTCTGGTATTTGAGACATTTGCATTAAAAATAATACTATTTCAACATGTGATGAACATATGCTCCAAACCAAGTACAATCAATCCACTCCAAAGCATCTGAGCAAAAGCCAGGACATGTTTATTTGTAGAAAACTCATTTTGCCTTCTTGAGTTGTGGGAAACAATGTCTGTTTTCCACAAAATTATTCTGACAAAACTGGAACGAGGATGTACTCATAGAAGTTCACCAAATTGAAAACTATCAGTTTTCACGCTAACTTTTAGAAAATAGAAATACGTTGTTTTTCACTTAGCTCTTTTGTTAAACTGATCTTGGTTTCCAAATGGAAACTTGACCTTTCTGAATGTACTAGAGCCCTGCATACTGTGAATCCCACAAGGGAATCTTAAAGCATTTTTTTATTGTATTCTGCCATCATTTTGCTATATAAATACACATTCTTTTATAAACAAACCAAGTTATTGGAGGAAATGGTCTGGATATTATTTTCCCAATCCCTAAACAAAGTTTCAGACTCTAGCAACTGTTTCTTTTGAAAGTTCTTTTCTTCTGTTTTTGTCTTCTTGACACCAGTTTTATCAGTATCTTACGATTCGCAATTCAAACTTAAAATTCAAGTCAATTTTCATCCTAAACGATTTGAATCTTATAAGTGAATCGGAATTGAGCATGAATTTCTCATACTTTGAGCCGATTCTCATGCTCAATGATTCTCTTATCCAACAAATGAAAAATTCAATGTAGATAAAAAAAGCAAGAGAGCACAGTTATCTTAGAAGAGGAAGATAATGGAGGGCTTGAACTTAGAAATGATAATGAATGAATATGGATTTGGATAGGAAATTTAATGCCTTCGTAATGTTACTTTGCTTTTGGTTTAAAATTTTAACTTCATAGTTTGATATTTTAAACTTGGTAACCACACAAGTCATTAGGTTCCCTTTAATTGGTAACTAAACAAGTCTCTAGGTTCACTTTTATTTTGTGTTCAGTCATGAATTGGGATTAAAATTTATATAAATATATTATTTGCAATTAAATTTTTAGTATCTTTACTTTTATTTTTGTGTTCAGTCATGAATTGGGATAAAATTTATATAAATTATTATTTGCAATTAAATTTTTAGTATCTGTTTGATAAAATCAATGGAAATATATCCATAAGAGGTATATGTTAGTTTTATTTTTTAAATTAATTTGAAAAAGTTTTCAATTGAATCTTGTGATTCGATTTTGATTCCATTTAACTTCATAGTTTGATATTTTAAACTTGGTAACCACACAAGTCATTAGGTTCCCTTTAATTGGTAACTAAACAAGTCTCTAGGTTCACTTTTATTTTGTGTTCAGTCATGAATTGGGATTAAAATTTATATAAATATATTATTTGCAATTAAATTTTTAGTATCTTTTGATAAAATCAATGGAAATATATCCATAAAGGTATATGTATTTATTTTTAATTAATTTTGAAAAAGTTTCATTGAATCTTGTGATTCGATTTGATTCCATTCTCGATTCTAAAAATAAGATCTCCATTCTCAATTTGACAACTATGCTTGGCATATACATAATACATATTTGTCTTTCCCTACCATAAATATATCCAGAGAAATTGGAAACATAAAATGGAAAACGTGTTCACTTGTTAATAATAAAAAATCATATTTCAATTTAAAAACTATTATTCATAACTTTCATAATAAAAAGAAATAAAATATTATAAAACAAATTTAGAAACCTTAGTATTTTAAAATTTTTTAAAAGAAATGATACAGTTATAAATAATTTTTTATGTAATAATAAAATTAATTACATATTAAAGCATAATATAAAATTAAAAAATAAAAACATTAATTAAGTTATTTAAAATACTCTTTTTCAAGAAGAATATTTTAATAAGACTATTTTTTTTAAAACAAAAGTTATAGATATCATAAGTTTTTAATTATGAGAAGTCATTTTTCTAAAATGGAAAATAGGTGGAAAACATATGACTTTCGTTATAAACCATGCTTTGGAAAACTATTTTCCAGTTCTCCACATGGATAACTGGCATATTTGATTATGAAACTCTCTTTTTCAGTTTTTCTTTGGAAAACTTTTCTAGAAAATTACCCCAGTTTTCTGGAAGTAAACAGCCCCTTAGATATTATAGGGCTTGCTTTTATTTTCTTTGTTCTTTTTTCTCAAAACCACATTCAAATGATTAAATTGGAAAAATGAAAAATGGCAAAGAAACTAGAAAAAATATTTCGCACAGGCATGAGTTTGCCAGAAAATTTTTCAGAGATAAGAAGAACTGCTAGAAAATGTATCAGTTAAAATAAGAAGAAATTGTTTGCTTAGAAATCAGGTCTTCCTTTTCACCACAATCAAATAGAAAATGCATCTATTGGCAAAGGAAAATTTAGCAAGAAAGGAAAAATAAATTCAATTATCCATTTATTTTAAACACAGTGTTCAGTTGAATTCAATCTAATTCAAGATATTAGTGTATAGAATGCCAAACATGAGCTCACTAATAAATTACAAATATTGTTGTTTACTTGTTATCAAAAAAAGGAAAATGCTAATGCAAAATCCCGTATAGAGCAAATAAATTGAAACACAATTTGTTCGAAAATGAAGATTAGCATTGATTACCTGTTTGTTGATTATAAAAAGTTGAAGAAGATCCTCATAAAGGCCAGCACGCAAATGATAGTCCCCACTGTAAGACAGGCTTGAAGTACTTTTGACCTGTTCCTTCGGTCCAACAAAGTGAAGTGACATAGAGCCGCCTCTAAAATGGATTCACCATCCAAAAAATATACCTGAAGTATGAAATTAAGGAGACAAATTTTGATGAGAATCCAAAAATACTGGCTTTTGCATTCTTAATGACAGCATCAAAACATTTGTCTCGTAATCATAATAGATTTCTCAGTCATTCCAAGAAACAAGTCATACATACCCATAATGTTGCTGTTATTCTATTTCAGCAGAACATTTAAAATAAAAGAAAAAAAAAATCGGGGATCTTCTACATGAATTTCAAATTGATGTTTCAAATTCATCTAGAAGATCCATTATGCAGATGTACATATGAGAACTGAAAAATGCACAAATTAATGAGCATCAACTCTCTTTATTTTCAGATTCTTAGTACTGTTTATCATCTATCAAGTTTATAAGGATTTCGAACCAGTACTGCCTTTCTTATGCTGATGGATATTCATGCCTACTATTTTCGACGTTCCAGATAAGCTCCACTGTTTTAGAACATCAATTTGCTAAGTTTGAATTATTCCAAAATACAACGAGAAACATATCAAGTCCTTGCTAAATATGAACCCAAAAGAAGAATAAATCGGAAATGAAATGCATTAAATAATGAAAGGATAATAGTTAGTATAGTCTCATTCTCATAAGGATGAAATTCATGGAAGATGAAAAAAAAAAAAAGGTGCTTTTGATAGCAGGACTGATGCAAATATATAAACAGCAATCATTGATAAAATCATCTAGAAGGAGCCTAACAGGAAAGGAAGGTATACACACTTCCCTGCTTATAGTGACAGTAAAATAAACATTAATGTCCACTCTTTCCAAAAGCAATTCATTCATATGTCTAGTTTTTATTGTTCCCAATTGTTTCAACAAAAAATATAAAACGAAGGGAGAGCAAGTAATATTTCCCTTGACTGGTCTAATTGACTCTTGAAATGTCATCCCCTAATGTTGTCCCAACAAAACAATACAACATAGACTAAGATTATCTGATACCATCTCAACCTTCAACATATTTATTTAAAGAGATCCACTCTGAAATCAAGTAAATGTACTTCCACTTATCAACCTATATTTACCGCCTTTTGCAGTTTGCACTAGACCAGACAAATCCCATCCTGAGAAAAGTAGAACTCAAGCAACTTTACATTCCTGGAAAATTTCCCTAAAAGTATCCATTTAAACATATCTACAATCTGAACTAACATAATTTTGATTTCTCCTAGACCTCTGTCAATCTAGCAAACAACTTATCTGCCAGAATTCAATATCAGTGATCTAAAAGGGCTTGTGATCAACATTTTAGATAGAGTAAAAGGATAGATGGAACCTAAGCTTGTTAACAGATGATACTTTCCCAGCCCCATTCTACAAGTGTTTTATCCATATATGCATAATCAAAAGGTTGTTTAGTTCAGACGAATATGAAGACTGTTTAAGAGCCACAAGGGACCAATGAATTTTTTTTTAACTTTTTATTTTGTATCCTTTAACTACCTAAGAAGGCTTAACCCATATGTGCTCAAAGAGGATTTGGATTCTGCTATAAGATCAAATGCCAAGAAGCTTACTGGCAAGCTGTTGAGGAGAGCTAGAGTAAGAGAAACTTGAAATGTCCATATTAAGCCCTTCTCCAGAACCTTTGGAAGATATGCACTGGAAGTAAATGCCCAACGAGGTCGATAAGCAGTTAACTGAATTGAGTGTGCCATGAAGAACACATCACCAACAAAAACAAAAGTCCCACCACAGTTTTTTTCCATGAAGTCTGCAGTTTCAGCATGTGAAGAAAAGTTTCCTCCAGGTTGCAAGCATTCTGGAGAATACGAGCTTGAATAGGTGATTTCAACCCATATTAACCCTGGCAACTGGACAGGGCTCAAACAAGATTCATCCTACAGACCATGCAAAATAATTTATTAGTTGCAATTGACAGCATATTACTTCATTTACTTATCAAATCAATCAAACAAAGGCCAGCACCATAGAGCAAGTTTGCTTGAAATGTTTGCTTGTAGGCATCAAACTTGCAACTAAGTTGCAAAATTTTTTATTATTGCTCCAAACAATGGTCCTAGACCAAATGCAATAAGCAAACAAAAAAAGTATTGTTAAATATAACAGTATCTGAAAACCTGAAATATCCACCTGTGAACATAAGCAGCTGCTTCTATTGGTTATTTCTGTAGACCATCCATAACCACATTTATCAAGTTTGACAACATCACTAGCACTCAAGCAGTGAAAACTCTGTTTTTCATCCAGATGGCTATCTTCATTGCTGATATCATCTAACTTACTAGGATCAAAGCATTTAATAGCTAAAAATTCAGTAAGATCACTAGGACAAGTAGATTGATTCCCTACCAAATTAATCTTCTTGCTTTCTTCGATGAGAGAATTAAGAACACAATAACCCTTTCTGCTATGAACAGTGGAAAGAACTTTAGAAGTTTCTGAATGATTTGAACTTTGAAATGCCTGTTCATGCACTAAAGCAGCCATCTCCATCCATTCTCGTTCGTTACGGATGCGTTTACCATCCAATGACATAATTACATCACCAGGAGACAAATAACCAGACAATGGAGAGGAAGAAGGTACATACAGAACCTATTCAAATTAATCAATATAAATTACATAAGTGGAACGAAAAGATATGTCAAGACAAGTGTATGTAATGTAAACTAGCATGTGTGGTACCATGGGGCTTTCACCATGTATGAAAAAGGGACACAAGATCAAGGGCAGGAGGGATAATAACAATCCACAAGCTGCACAACACTATGAAACCACAACAGACATCAGCATACTTGCATAAGCAAAAATGGAAAATTAAATTCAAAAAAATGTAGCCAAAAACATTCTCATTGATCAAGAGATATCCCGAAAATCATAAATCAGAAGTAGGTATTATAAAGTATACAAGCTTTACCACAGCATTATGCCAAATGCCAGCACAATATACACGAAGAGCAGCAAAGCACTCTAAAATCTGCAGCAACTCATAATTGAAAGCCACCAGAGCACCAGGAAAAAGAACTGCAACAAAAATGGCTATATATTCTGTCGGTATGCCCTCACTGCTTTTCAATGAAAAGGTGCCGACAGTACCAACCATGAGAATCTAGACTTCTGCAAATTCAGGTATAGATTTTGAGATTCAAAAGTAATCCATATATTGCTATTCAAAGTTGTTAATCACCTATTTTAAACAATTGAGTCGTACAAATCAGATGAAATAGAGGGTCAGCCTGGTACTAAATTCATCCTAATAGTTACTTATCATTGACTTCAACATAGTTACCTCCTTTAGCAACCCCAGCCAGAAAAAACCACTCTCAAGATATGAAAACAAAGAGCAAATCAAGAAATTTAGCAAATGAAAATCAAAAGCATCTCACTCCAGCAAACAAGATGTAAAAAATGAAGCATCCATCAACTCTTCCTCTTTTCTGATAAACATGAGTTTCTTTCAGATTTAATATTTCATTTCTCATCTAAATTCTATTTATTAGAGTTCTAAAGAATTTCGATCTCACTTGACAAAGCCATTTTTTTTCTTCTTATTTCACATTTAGAGCCAAATATTTTTAAATTTTGAGGAAGTAACAATAAAAATTGCTTCAACAACATTTATACATGAATCAATCATAAACATTATCACAGTCCATAAATCCAAACATTTTAAAAAAAAAAAATTGTAAACAAGAACAAAGAAAACAAAAGTAAAAGAAGAAGTCACCTGGCAGCAGAAATGGCATGCCCAAATTCATGCACAGATACAGATATCAAAGTAGAAAACAATAAATAAGCAGCATCAGCAACTGATAGTCTCAAACCATACACCTAAAAAAAAAAAAAATTCAAAATTAGAAGTCACCTAAACAGATACAGATAGCATCAGCATCAGCATCAGCCTCAGCCACATATTATCACACTATCAATTAAAAAAAAAAAGAGTCAAAGCATAAAGATACCAACCCGAGGGGAAAATCCAAACAATAAGGAACTGAAGCCATCATCAAGCTTCGCTTTTCCACGAAAAATATGCAGAGCATTTCCTAATTCCCATGTAAGAATCTGTAAAACCCAAAAAAAAAAAAAAATCAGAATCAAAAAATGGAGGAAAAGAGAGGTTAATTAGCCTCTGAGCATTAACTACCATAGTGACAACGAGCAGTGCGGTTAGGGTAAAACCGACGCCGATCGAAAACCATATCTTGAAAAACCTGGCGTGCTTTCTTCCAAAACGAAAAAGTGGCCCATTTAGAACTGAGAATTTGTAATCGCAATACAAGCAAGAAATGGTGTTTGATAGACGACGGGTTCGGGTTTCTGAAGTTTGGAGAGGTAGCAGAGTGTTAGTTTGTCCCCTTCCAAACCTCCTTACACGCCTCCCTTCCATCGTCCTTGCCGCCAATGTTCACTCTCACAAATGTGTTTGATTAGATTTTACTAGACATGATCATATACTGCAGGCCGAGCTAGTTACGGAAATGAGGAGGCTCGTTTTACCCATCATGGGGTCGGATCCATTTACACCGTTTGGAAAAGGAGGAAAGAAAATAGAAGAGAAAGCAAATAATGAGGGAAAAAAAGGAATGATCGTGTTATTTATTTTTCTTTCTTATTTTTCTTCGTATAATTAGGTTAAATAAAATAAAAAGAGGAAAGAAAATGTAATTATTAAAATTTTATAATTTTACCCTAAAAAAAAGGGAAAATGTGAACTACTACTATAAACTAATATCAACGTTTAAAGCATGAGAAATAAAGTGAAGAGGGACAGGATTCCGCTCCTTTAGACTAGACCCAAACAATGCATTTGCTACAAGCAAACGTGCCTCGCAGTTTGCTGATTTACTTACTAGGTCCTTAAGAACTGACCTACAATCATGAACAACACTGCCAAAATAGGAGCTATCAGTCGAACTGAACCCCAAAGCTTGCACAAACTATAAAAAAAATTGTCTCGAACAACACTTTAGCTAACCCGGTAAATTTCACTCAGCTGAGAGCTTCTCTACAAAATAGAGCCTCAACAACTAAGCAACTAAGAGCACCCAACAACTCGGCTTGACAAGCATTTAAAAACACCCCTTGATCATCACGAATTTGCCTACTTGTGCCTAGAGGTGTAAATGAGCTGAACTCAACTCAAACTTGTCAAGTTCAAAACTTGGCTCGATAGAATTTAGCTCGACTCGAAACTCAATGGATCTGAAAATTTAGGCTCGAGCTTGGCTCGATGAATGCTCGAACTCGATTCGAGCTGGACTTTTTCGAATTTATTTTGAGTTGACTTCAAACAGCTCATGCCAGCTCAACTCATTTACACTTCTGCTGGTGCCGATCTTTGTGGAGGAGAGATGCATAGCAGCGTCTATGTTACATTTAAGAAACCCGAGAGGAGGCTTGAAACAAATAATGGAATCGTGTGGGCTTTGAGCAGGCAGTGAAATAACTAGAGTTTCAGTAGCTTGCCATTTTAAAAAACGAAGGTTTAATTTTCATTTAATTTATTTCTTCTTATTTTATATTTTATTTAGTCATTTTATAGTTGACTTTCCAAAATTATTTCTTTTATTGTTAAATAATTTATATAATTTTTCAAAATTTTTTGTTGTTGATTTATGGTAGATTTATCTTGTATTATTTTTTTTCTGTTTCTTTTTGCATTATTATATAAAATATTATTACTTTTGTTTTATTTTTATAATTATACTTAATTTGTCAATAATTTATTATTTATTTGGTTATTATTGTTGGTGGTGTGCCCACTCAAGTGGGACCCACACAATTATGAAAAGAAAAAAAAAAAATCAAAGGTTGGCAACCAACCATTGAATGGTTGGCATGCCAGTTGAATATTTTTATTAATTTTATACTTAATTTTGTCAATAATTATTATTTATTTGGTTGATTATTTGTTGGTGGTGTTGCCCACTCAAGTGGTGACCCACGACAATTAGAAAAGAAAAAAAAAATCAAGTGTTGGGCAAACAACCATTGAATGGTTGGAATGCTAGTTTGTAAAATTACATAAGGAGCCGTCGTCATGAGCAAGCAACGGCTCTCAAATCTTTTGCCATTATAGGAGGCTTAGGGGAGCATCAGCTACACGACGCACCCACAAGAGCAACGGAAATGAACTAAGGTGAAGAGAAAGATTAGAGAGTTTATGAGTTTTAGAAAGGGTTCTTAAAACGACGGGTTTAGAAAATAGTAAGATTATGGTAGCGGTGTTTTTGTGAAACACTTGTGAGTGTCACTATTTTGTATTACTCTCTTGTAAGCTCTACTATTTTATATTTAGTTTGGTGAAGACAAGGGTATTCGGAGTTTGGTCCCTGGTGGACGAGTAGCTCCTAAACAGTTTGAGGTGAACCACGGTAAATTCTGCGTGTTCCCAATTTTATATATTTTCCTGGCTGTTTTAATTATCTCGTGTTTTTATTGCCGGTGGATTCCTAACAAGTTGGTTATCATGGAATGCTTGGTTCAGCCGGTCAGATCAGCCTTGGCGGACCGGATCCGTGTGGATATATTTGAAATAAATATACCGAAGACGGAAAATTACGACGAGTCCGTTGCGTGCTAGTGCGCCTCGGATAAAAGACGTTGGCAAAATCGACTTAGTGATTAAATAGTAAAAATAGTAACTCGATGTTGATAAGTTGACTATCTACGTTACTGTTTCCGATGCCCGTCACTGTTTATGCCCACACTATTTCTACGTTTTATAGTACTATTCACACGATAGCAGTACTATTCACGTTTATCAGTCTATTCAATCTATACAGGTACTATTCACGTGTTTTACAGTTACTATTCTCATTACTGGAATTCTAATATTACGGTTACTATTCACTCAAAAGTCATGGGATAGCTGAGAACAAGCAAAAATGGATTGTGCTAAAATAGGCGCAAATTGCCATATATTGATGAGAATAAAAATGAGAGATCTCTATGGTAACCAAAATGCATCTACCCGTGTTTGACGTTCAAGCAAACCGCGAAGATCAAGAACTGAATGAAGATGGGCTTTCGAGCATGAACAGTTTGTGGTTATATTCCGACCAATTTTGTCGTGATGATAATGTTGTAGCAACCACATTTGTAACGATGACTCCGCCAGAAACATTATGGTACCAAACGATCAGTTGTATGCCTTCATAATTCCCGGCCGGCAACAAGCCAATTATTTTTATTATGACGAAGCTGATGAATTTCCCAAATACCAAAGAAGTCTTCTATAGCAGATCACCTTGAGTGAACTGCAGGCGTACTATTCACCAGTGTCAAATTATGGCATAAAATTGATGATAAAATTCTCGGCCTTATATGGTGCTTGCTCCTTCGACCAGTGAGGTCTGTGGGAGACTTTTGAAGAATCAATTACGAAAACTCTACACCACAAGTGGAGTATAGGCTGGGATATTTGTTTAAAAAATGCTGTTCGTGAATGAGAAATGAGACGCAAAAGCACAGATCCTTCTTTTCCATCTCAGTCAGACTTTTTAGTTCAGTGTCTAAAGTAAATTAATCAGTCCCAGAGGGAGGAGCCAATCTCAGAAGTTCATAATACAAGAGATAGAGTCAGAGGTAGATCAACACAAAATTGCAATATGTGTGCCATTCATTGGGAAAGAAGGGGCAACTTATTAAAAGGTATGCCGGAAGTTCAAAGTATCAGCGAAGAAGATCAAAGGCAGGCAATGAAGGACAGAAAGCAGTGATGATTCGAAATTCAATGTTAATTGCTGAGATTCCAACTTGTTTCATTGAGACACTATCAATCTTGCATACCCAGGAGACCAGTTGGGTAATTGATTTAGTGGGGGCGTACCACTTCATGTCAACATTCCCGGAGAAGAGAATTTTCATCTTACAGCACCATGAAAAAGATTTGGGTGTGGTCAAGATAGCAGGACGCGTAAACTTTGAAAGTCGTCGATGTAAGTGGAGATATTCTTGCCTTGTGAGACAGAAAATGGTTCGAGATTAATTTTAAAGAGATGTCGTGGCATGTACCAGACCATGATTCAAATTTAATTCTCGTGTTGCGCAAACTTGATGATGAATAATTCGATGCATCCTTCAGAATATGGGAATGGAGCTCACAAAAGGTTCCATGGTGATAGCAAATGGAAAGAAAGATCCAAGCTGTACGTGATGCATGCGTAAGCTTCGTCCCGAGGATACTTTAAGATGTAGCGGAGGTGGAATCAGTACAGTTGAATTTGGCATTTGAATACGGATCTATGCCACATGAGTTGAGAAGCAGGAATGGACAACTCTGGTCCAAAAACAACATGTGCTATCTGGATTTGGAGATAACAGTCCATTTAGAGGAAATGGTTCTGCATTGTCATTGGCAGGAAAAGGCAGTATAGAGTAGCCTATAGATTTCTCAGCCTTTCCAGGAATGAAGAATGTGTTAGATCTTGTACATTCAATCTGTGTGGACCAACGATGTCTAATGGTGGAAGATCGATACTTCGTTAACATTTAGTCGTGATGACCATCTCTTAGACGACCTGGGTATACACTTTGAAGTCAAAGATCAAGTTTTTAGATACTGTTTTTTAAAGCATTTCTAAACTTTGGTTTGAGCGACAGACTAAACAAGTAGTCTGAAGTGCGATCAGATACTAGTATATCGGTGCAGAGAATACCACTGGGCCATTTGATGCTTTCTGCAAAGAGCTAGGGATTCGACATCAAACAAACATCCTTCCAAGACGCCGCCAGTTGAATGGTTTGGCTGAGAGGATGAATTGAACTTTGATGGAGAGGAGTTCGATGTTTACTCTCACATGCTAAAAGTGTTAAAAGATTGTTGGTGGGAAGTCCTCTACAGTAGTTCGATCTATTAATCGTCACCTTGTTGTTCCTCGTCAAGTATGATACTCCAGACGAGTATGGGTCATGGAAAGGTGTTTCCTTATGATCACCTTGTCGTGTGTTTGGTTGCAAGTATTTGTTGCTATATTCCTAAGGATGAGTAAGGTCTATGCTTGGATGTCAAGGGACTGACAATGTTATCTATGGCATGGCCTTAAGGATTCATTATTTGGCTATTAGATTTTTGACCTCCAGAAAAAGATTGATAAAAGTGAATTTGTTGAAAAATCAGACTATCTTGAAGATGTTTGAAAAGATCTTCAGAAGCAAAGTTGCCGATTAGATCTGAAGATGATTTCAACAATAATGTGATCAAATTAGTTTCCTCCTATCACAGAACAACAGATGCAAGTTGTGATATGAAGAAAATGTTTCCACTAAGTAACAAGAGCCAGAGTTACAAGTGCCAGAGTTAGAAAATCCAGAAGTTCCTAATGAGAATGAACCAGATGAAGATTATGGTGTTCATATTCAACCACCAGCACCAGAAGGTTCTCAAACATTAATAAGGTCTAGTAGAGTCAGACAACCATCTACTAGATATTTAGCAAATGAATATGTATTGATGACTGACGGGGGAGAACCTGAAAGCTTTGAAAAACAAGTGGGTGTTCAGGATCAAGTAGGAAGAACACAGCTCCCAACCACGATTCAAAGCTAGACTGGTTGTGAAAGGATATTCAATCAAAGAAAGGGTATTGATTTTGCCCAAAGGCAGAAGCTTTGAAGAATATAGTGGTGTAAGTGGGTGTTCAGGATCAAGCAGGAAGAACACAGCTCCCAACCACGATTCAAAGCTAGACTGGTTGTGAAAGGATTTAATCAAAGAAAGGGTATAGATTTTGATGAGATCTTCTCACCAGTTGTGAAAATGACATCCATTCGGACAGTGCTCGGAATGGCCGCCAGTTTTGATCTGGAAATCGAGCAAATGGATGTAAAGTCTGCCTTCCTACATGGAGATTTGGAAGAAGAAATATACATGGAGCAGCCAGAGGGTTTCATAAAAAAGGGGAAAGAAGATTATGTCTGTAAACTGAAGAAGAGCCTTCGTAAACTTGATAGAAGAGCCTGACGGCTTTGAAGCAGGCACCTCAAGACGTTGGTACAATAAAGAAAGTTTTGAGTCTGTTATGGGGAGCAAGTACAAAAAGACTACTTAGTTCACTTGTCTTCGTAAAGTAAATCTCTTTGGATTGATGACTACAGTGTTTCTTCTTGCTCTTGTAGATGAGTTATGGTTGATTGTTGGTTCAGAATTTCTGTTCAGATATTAATAGCTTGGAAAACAGCTAGTACAGCTTTGTTATTGATAAGACTTGGACCTAGCAAAGCAGATCTTGTATGAAGAGATACGAGGAAATCGAAGAGACCAAGAAAGTATATGGTGTACAGATGAGAGTACATGAAGAAAGTACTCGTCTCTCTTCGGAAAATCATTAAAGCGGTTGGTTGTCCTCTCCTATGCTATATCACTTTAAATTAAGCTCAAAAAGTGCCCTTCTACTGATGGAGAGTACAAGGATTAGGGTATGGACAAGATTCTCCATTAATGCTCAGCACTTAGGTAGATTCAATGTGTATGCCGAATGGTTGTACTACGGCCAGATATGCGCGTGCATTCAGTCGGATGAGTTCAGTGAGTCGTCTCAATCCTTGTAAAGAACAATGGCGCAGTGAATGGATCTTTTCAGGTTATCTTCGAGGTACGACCCAAAGTGATTTAATGCTGGAGATGAGAGGCCAAGTATTTTAGTCGGTTATATACGTTTACCTCCTCCTCCGCGCCCCCAATCGCAGATATGGCTTGGGCGGATGTTTGACTCGAGAAAAGTCCCACATCAAGGTTATCTATTATTACATCGTGGGGAGCTGTCGGCAGTTCAAGATTGAGAAGGTGTTGCTCTATCAACACTTGAGGCAGATAATTCATTGCACTAACAGAAGCAGCAAAGAGTGTGCTGGGGTGAAGAAGTTCTTTGAAATGAACTTGGAATTCATCAAGAACGCATCATTTGATGTCTGCGAGTAGCAGGAGTGCGATCTATCTTGAAGATATTCCTCCTTTCATTCAAGATCAAAGCACTATTGATGTTAAGATATCATGCATCAGGATGTATTGGAGTATGAAGCAGTACTCAGCTTTGTGAAATCCATACATATGAAATGGTATAATAGTTTTAACGAAGATTCTTTCCAAAAGAAAGTTTGATATTTTGCCGTATTATGCTGCTAGGGATATTGGAGAGGTATGGCTAACGTTCCCCACTTGAGCGTGTGCAGGGGGAGATGTGTGGTGGTGTTGTGCCACTCAAGCTGGTGACCCACACAATTAGGAAAGGGAAAAAAAAAAAATCCAAAGGTTGGCAAACCAACCATTGAATGGTTGGCATTGTCCAGTTGAAAATAATGAAGAGCACGGTATGAGCAATGCACGGCTCTCTCAAATCTTTTGCTATAAAATGAGGAGGCAGGAGCATTCATCACAGGACGCACCAACTAAGAGGCAACTGTAAAGAATAGTGAGAGAAAAAATAGAGAGTTTTTATTGAGAGTTTTTAAGAAGGGTTTCTTAAAACGAAGGGTTTTAGATATGAATAGTGAGAAGTTATCTAGGGTTTTTTTGGGAAAACCACTTGTGAGTGCCACTATTGTATTACGTCTCTTGTTATCAGCCTACTATTTTGAATAGTGGAAGAAATATTCGGAAATTTGGGTCCGCGTGACGTAGCCCTAATAACAGGTTGAGGGGTGAACACGTAAAATTTCTGGCGTGTCCATTTTAATATTCGCTGCTAATATCTCGTATTTTTATTGCCGGTATCCAACAGTTGAGGGTGAACCACGTAAATTTCTGCGTGTCCCAATTTTAATATTTCCGCTGCTTAATTATTCTCGTATTTTTATTGCCGGTATCCTAACAATTATATGAATGGTTAAGAGTGTGTGTTTATTTATTTTTAAAAGATTAATGGTTGAGATTGTTTGATTAAATTATTTATTTATTTACTTTAGATGAATGGTTGAGATAGTTTAATTAAATTATTTATTTATTTACTTATTATTTTATGGAGATGTAATTAATTAGTTGTAATTTATTTTCAAATGAGTTATACTAAATTAGTTATAGATTATTATTGGGGATGTAATTATTTTCTCCCCTCCTTTCTTTGAATGTTTAATTATTTATCGTGGATATTTAATTTTATTTTATTTTTTTGCGATTATGTCGTATCAATGTGTAAAACAATCTTTTGAATTTCAAAATTATAACTTTTCTTTCAAAACCATTTTTGTCAAGTAATGGTATGATGTTAAATTTGGTGTCTGTTATTTGATTTTTCATTTTCTATGTTGGTGTATTTTTTTTTTCTCATTTTGATGTATCTTGATGTTATAGACAACCAAAATGTATGATGGGACTAAGTTAGATCCACATATGTGTATGTATCCGCTTACGTGGCCTGACATTTATTCCACGTAGGCTGTTCGATGTGGAAAAATAATAAAATTATCATTTAACCCTACTACCATCCAAACAATTACTTTTCTCTATTCAAACCAACTCAATCCATGAATCATAAAGTTAATACATCCAATCCTATCTGTTATTAGGCATGGCCATTTTTGGTCTTTTGAAACTAGAACCATCGGTTTGGAATCGGTGGGAATTAGAACTGTGTGAAACCGAAATTGGTTCGAACCAGAATGGAGGCTTGCAGTTCAATTTCGATTTTAAGTTTTGAGGAACTGTAACCATCGGTTCCAAGAATCGGCCGGAACCAGCAATTTTTTCAACTGGTTAGAATTGGCGATTCCACCGGTTCAAACCGGCAATTCCAACATAATTTTTTTTACTTTTTCAAAAGTTTTTGTGAAAATTTTCAAATTAACCATCCTAACAATTATATAACGGCTAATTTTAAGGATATTTGTAGAAAGTTGATTTTGTGGATTTACTATAAATATCCATTATTTTCATTTATCTTCATACAAAATTATTTCTCCCTAATATTTTCTACTCTCAAATCTTTCTAAACTCTCCCATTTATAATTGTCCAAATTACTATCAAATAATTTCTCTAAAGTCTAATATCTAATTATTGTCCAAGCCTTTTTTTTTTTAGAAAAAAAGTTTAAGCCCTTTTCTTTTTTTCTTTTTTTTTTTTTAAGTTCAAGCCCCCTCTTAATTTTTTCTTAAAAGTTTTTAAAAATTATTTTATAAATATTTAAATTTTAAGTTTTCAACAAAAAAATCTTTCCTAATTTTTCATTTTATAATTATGTAATCTGCCGAAAAATTGATCGAAAAACCGATCGGAAACGATGGTTTTAAAATCGTTAAGAAACTGTAACAGTTCAGTTCCAAATTATAAGCAGATCATCAATTTTCAGTTTAATTTTGATTTCACATTTTTAAAATCGAAATCTTCAATTTTTAAAATCGAAATCCGCAATTCTAGAACCTATCCTATATGTTATATTATGTTTTTAAACATATAGTTGAATTGAGGCAGAATGGGTGATGTGCAGCCCTCGTCGTATCAAATAAGGCCATGTGCAGTGTCCGGCCTAATGCGGTCCAAGCCACTCCTCGTCAATTTAAGAATGTGCCAGCCCGACCCAGTTGCCACACCTCTTTTAAATTTTAAGAATCCCAAACTACCCTTCTCCTTTCTTGATTCTTTAATCAAAACAACATTTTCTTCTCTTTTCTCTCCTTCCTCAACAATCAAAGAATCTGAAATCTTCTCCCTAATACGACAAACACTGAGACACCCTTAAACCAAATCCCATCGTGCAGTAGCTCCAGCTCAATTTCGAAACTGAAAGTTGGGAATATAGAGAGAATTTGATTGATATTTTCTGTTACATTTGCAGTTTGCAGGTTTGAAACAGAAAGAAGAGTTGCGGAAAGTGAATTCACAAAATCGAAATCAATGATTTTATTGCAATCCCATTCCAGATTTCTTCTACAAACCTTATTGAATAGGGTTCAAAAGTACGTTCTTTTCCTATTTCTATGGCTCTCTTTGTACATAATCTTTCTTGTTACTTTCGGTTTTGTTTCTTTATCCTAAATTGGAAAATTGAAACAACCCAGAATATATGTTATTTTGTTTTGTTTTGTTCATTACTTTTTTTCATGATTGTTGATAAGACGGAAGGGGGAAAATAATGGAGAATCAATAGAAGTTGTTCTCTGCTACTGTTTCCCTTCTGTATGTATATTTATCACTCCTGTATTGATTGCGCAAACATGTGCTTCATTCAATCAAATAATTTGGAAGACCAGAATCATAGGGAGAAAATGAGTGGAAACTATGTTTACTCAAAACTTCATGCAATCTGCATATTTAAAGCTGTCAAATTGCTATGGATTTATTTCTCAACAGAGAAGTGACTAATCATGATCCACTGTCTAAAATAGATGATTTTGATAAGACATGTTGGCAAGTGGGGATGATTTTGATGAAAGTGTTAATGCTAGAAGCCAGGAGTTTTTGTATTCAGTAGCTAGGCTCCATTTTTGGCCTTTTCTTTTTACTCCAGCATAGGTGCTCTCAATCAAATAGTTTGCTTTGTTTATGGCATTTAGCCCTGAACTTCCAGACCTTTTTTATCTGCTTGTGTGCATAGAAAATGGAAAAAGACTAAACAGAGTTGCTTTGCAAATATCATGTGGATGATTTAGATATAATCATTCATTATATTGATGTCATAAATTATTTAAAAATATATATTCAACACATGATATTTGTTATATTGTTGGATTTCCAGTCTCGAAAAAGCTGTAGAACTTGATTACCACTGGGTTGAGTTTGATGACGTTCGCTACCATATTCAGGTTTTTTATTTTTCTCTGGTACTTGAATTCTTTGTTTTAAATTTCTTTCCCATATAATTTCTCTTATGTGCGGTTAATCAAATTTGTATAGGTGTCGATGAAGAACCCAAATGTCCTGTTGTTATCGGTCTCCTTACCTATTCCGCCTCCAGAGACTGTTTTCGTTGGTGGACTTCCTTTTGGAGCTATTGAAGCCATTAAGGCTGCATATGGTGTGGTTGTGCAGATTCTTGATCCTCCAAGAGATGGATATAATCTCACTTTGAAACTCAATTTGTCAAAACTTCCTCCAGATGAAGGTTCTACGAGTTCTTTTTCTAAGGTCATTATGAGCTTTGTAATGTATGCCGAAATCACACATAGGAACTGTTTGCTGGACATTTTCATCTTTTGTTCAAGAACAAACAAGTACCTAGCTGCTTTAATGCATTAGCCAATTAGCTTTTTGCTGATGGGAGTTCTGTAGACTATTTTTTCTCTTTTTCATAATGCTATTTGAGATTATCTGTAAAATTCTATGTCCAAGCCATGCCATTAAACTTGCATTTTATTCTCAATGCAAGTTTGTGTTCTCCCATTTGAGCTTGTGCATTTGCTTTGTAGTGGAGGAGGTTAAGGCATTAAAGGATGCCCTCTTCACTTTAAAAATATTTTGATGTACATGAAAGAAAAAGAAAAGAAAACCCTCGTTGTTTGACTGTTCATTTTGTTTAACATAGGTAGTAGTAGTGACTTTGAGGACAAAAGGCATTGGATTCTTTCTTTGATTGTGCTGGATTTGCTTTATTAAATACTGGTATATATTTTTTGGCAATTCATATATAATCTTGATTGCGTTTAAGTTCGTCTTTTGTATGTTTTAATGGTTGATTGATTTGTTTGATGATGTTTATGCTAATGTGCAGAGTCCAGGCATTCTCTTTTGGTAAAGATTGCATCTGTTAGGGAAGTAGTACTAGGTGCCCCTTTAAGAGTAGTACTAAAGCATCTTGCTTCAAGAACTGTTTCTCCTGATAGAGGTCGGCTTCTTGCGCTTGTGCATCGGCCAAATGAGTCTTTTTTCCTTGTTCCTCAGGTATTATATACGTTAATGGTTATTTATATTGCACTGATCTATTGTATAACATGAAGTACATTTCACCTTCATGCAATTGTTTCGGGTGGGGAAAAAAAAAAAAAACCCTTTGCAAATGTCATAATTGCAATTGTCTCTTCTCCTCTCTCTATCTCTCCCTTTCCCTCTGATTGATTAACTGAAAATTTAAGTGGGAAAGTTAAAAGAAAAAAAAAAAAAAATTACCCTCTGCAAATGTCATTATTGCAATTGTCTCTTCCCCTCTCTCTCTCTCTCTCTCTCTCTCTCCTTTCCTTCTAATTGATTAACTGAATTTTTTAACGTTAAGTTTGTCTTCAAATATTAATTTAATATGTTTCTCCTGATCGTGCAATTTATGTTTGTGTTTTTATCTATTTAAAGGAGAAATAACAGCACATGACAATTAACTGAAGAAAATATAATTGTTTATGGCAGGCAGAAAAGGTGACTGTAGTATTCCCTATGAGATTCAAGGACTCTGTAGATACTTCTCTTGCAGCTTCCTTCCTTCAGGTACAACATGTATGAGTCTCAGAAAATGAACAAGAACTATCCATCACTCCTGATGATAAAAATGATAATGTTTTTCTAAACATTTTTAGAGAGCCACTATCCACTTATTCTATTTTATGACTATTGTTTGTCTATCAGGCTCTGTTGTCAAGATTGCTTTTAACCTTTTGGAATTATTGGCTAACTTGCTTTTAACCTTTTGGAATGATGACTCTTATTCAGGAATTTGTGGATGCACGACGTACAGCTGGACTTAATAATGCTCCTCCCTGTTCTTTTTCTCCTAAACCCCCTCCAGAACTAAAGGAAGCTCCTGCTGAAGCATTATCTTCAAATGCAGGATTTGTATCTTTCGGTAACAACACAAGAACCAACTAGAGTTTGTTTCCTCCATTTTCACCTTTTTACTAACCAATCATAATTCAAAAAATGGTGCAGTCATTTATCCTCGTCATGTAGAAGGCAAAAAGTTGGACCGTACAGTATGGAATTTATCAACATTTCATGCATATGTTAATTATCATGTTAAGGTAAAGCTCTTTTGCATCAGTTGTTTCAACCTCTCATTTCCTATGTAAAACTTGTCATATTCTCATTTCAAGATACAATAATATGAAAATGAACAAAGGCCTGGTTATAGCACATACATATGGCCAAGAAAATATTAATGCTTCTTTTCATTTGAAAAATAAGAAAGAAGGGTTTTGGTTCTCTTGTTACACTATGGCTTAAGATTGTGGGTTATAAAATGAAAGGTTAATGTCTTCATACTATCCCTGAGTGTCAATTTCTAAGTTGTTTCTGTAATCTTATATTATATATGTTGCGTTGTGATGACTATTTTCTAAAGGGATTGAGAGTTAGCTGTTAACTTGAAAAAGTGGATATTCTTCAACCAGGCAATTCAACAATTCTAGGTTGTGCTGGATGTCTGAATATGGATTGATCTTTTCTGGGTGCTGGTTTTGATCCATGGAGTATTCTTCTTAGGAATGTCTACTCTTTCTGGATACTTAACCATTCTAAAAGTATTCTATGTATCCACTTTTGATTTTCTTGTTACACTATGAGTCAATATTTATGGTCATAAAATGAATGGGTTAATGTCTTCATACTCATAAAATGTTATATATGTTCTGATGCATTGCTTGTTTGTCAGAAGGGATTGAGTGTAAACTGTTAACTTGAAAAAGCTGATTTGCTTCAATCAGACAATTCAACAATTTTGAAGTTATGCTGAATGTCTGAAAGTGGGTTAATCTTTTTGGGTGCTGGTTTTGGTCTAAGCAGTATTCCTCAATGTCCTTATGCATGATTTTTGCTAAATCAACATTCAATTTTTTTTTTTTCAAACTTGAAAGATGCTGTCTTTTGAATTTAGGTCACTTTTACATTAGAATATCTGTTTTGATCTCAATTTTTTCTTGGATTCCTCAACAGAGCTCAGAAGGTTTCATGCATTCTCGCATGCGACGACGTGTGGAGTCTCTGATTCAGGTGAGTTGTTCGCTTTCTGCTTTAACTTTTATTTCTTTTATGCACTCTTGATAGTCTATCCATTTAGCCTTTCTTTACACTTAACCTGCTCCACACCCCCCCCCCCAAAAAAAAAAAACCCCCACACCCCCCCAAAAAAAAAAAAACCCCCCCCCCCAAAAAAAAAAAACCCCAAAAAAATAAAAAAAAGAAACAAAGAAAAGGATACATTTTAGGAAATTCAAATGCAACAGGAGAAAATTATTCTTTCATAAGCAGTGAAATTTATTGCACTTCTAAGATGCGTTTTCACAGTTCTGTTTCCTTTTATTAAAAGCTGAAAACAAGCCTAAAAGGGGCCTATTGTGGGTTATGGGGAGTGGAATAGAAAGACTGTATTGTTATTGTTGTTTCTCCAAATGAAAATAGAAAAAAAGAAAATCAATGTCACCTGGATTACCGACTTCAAAGGCTTTTTCTGACGGACTTTCTTTGTTTTTTGTCACCGTATAGAGTCTATACATCTATAGATGATCTTTAAGTTAGCATTAAAGTTGACCTTACAACCTACATGACCAATGACCTGTTGGTTGGCGACAGTAGTGGGCCTTTATCATGTACTCACAAATGTGATAAAAGTCATAAGCGATAGTGCTAGTGCCACTAAAGTTTAAGGCCAGAATGAATTTACCGACATTTGTGGGCAATTCCAGAAACTCTACATGAAGATCTGCAAAAGCTGGTGTATTATTTCTCAAGCTCATCTTATTTGAGATTTGATAATATTACCTTCCTTGCTTTGTAGTTTTGGGACTGAAATTGCTTCTGGAGAATTACTATTTGCTTACAAGGGGACCTGTACTTTATTGGCTAATCTCTGAAAATATCTACAAAAGATAGTTTTACAGGCTAATTTGCTTGAAGTGAGCCTAGATAAGGAAGCAGCAATAACCATACACACTTGCGCTGTCACATGAACATAAAATTGTTGCAATTGGTGTCAAACCATAGGTCAAGAATTCAGTTTTACTGCAGTAGCATATTGTGAAGTTCCCTATTAAAATTTGTTTTATGACTTTTCCTCTAGGTTTTCCAGTGTCTTGTTTTCTTAGGGCCCATTGATTTCCTCGTAGGGTTTTTGATTACTTTGTTGAAAGAATATATTTTTATTAAATTAAAAGAAAAAAAAAAACTGATCACTTCTCATACCTTGTGTTACAGGCCTTGGATCGAGCAAAAGCTGATGCGGAGGAGAAACAGAAGTCACCAAATAGCGGATCTTTTAAACGGCTGGTATGTCAGGATAATACCAATCTCATTCTTGGCTTTGAACTGATAATTTGGGGTTATATGCGTTTCTAATATCTACAGTTAATTGTAGAGTCTGAAGGAAGGCCGGGCTAATTCAAAATCTTGAAGGTGGAACTTAACGCTCTGTTGCTCCCTGAAGAACTTGCTGGCATCTGTATGCAGGAAGGGCTGCTGCAAGTGCTATTACTTTTTTTTTTTTTTTCTTTTTTCTAGTGGTGGAAAAGAAAAAGGAAGACTGGAGTATGTTTTCGTTTGTAATGTGTAGGATTTTGTTTATATTTGGTTCCCTGAGCTGCAAAAATATCAATCTTTTTCTAGGTTACTTTTTGTTTGTTTTACCAATTCAATTTCTGTATTAAACATTGTTTTATTTTGTATTTTTTGGTTATGAGTTTGAACTAGCATGTCCATGGAATTTTACCATTGTTTGGATGGGGTGAGTGCAGGGCAAGTCTTCATCTTTCACTATTTCAAAACTTGATTTATTTAGGTTTGATTTTTTATTCCAAATAATTTGCAAAAACCAAAAAAAAAAAAAAATTCCAATAATTTGCAAAAACCAAAAAAAAAAAAAAAAAAAAAAAAGATGTTTTGTTCAAGTTATTATTATTATTATTATTATTATTAAAAGAAACTGTTTTGCCAGGTTTGAATCCCTTTATATTAAATGCTCAGTTTGTGAATCCCTAAATTTGCATCTACTTTATATTAAAAAATATTATATAAATATGTAAATATAAATAGATATGGATTTGATTATAAATACATGAGAATGACTAAAATATCTTTATAAGAATAGTACATACAAAATGAAGTTTCACACAAATAAAAAAAATTCTTATTTTTAAACTAATTTTGATATTCTAATCAAATAATAAAATATGAAAATGGATTTGTATTATTTGATCAGGTCTTCTAACCGCCGCTGATTATAACAATCTATGTCAGTGCGAAACCCTTGACGATATCAAGATGCATCTCTCCGCTACAGAGTACGGTTCCTACCATCAAAACGGTGCGTTTTCTGCTCATGTATAGATTTCGTTTGTGCTTTATTTTGCGTTGATGGGAAAACTGAGTGTAATTGGTAATTCAAGTGGGTGCTTGGATCTAATTAAGTGATTTTTATTTGACTTGGAGCTTGATAGAAATATGACGTGATGATGTGATTATGTTTGGGAATTTGCATTATTCGTGTCCTGATTGGAAATTGAAAACTTGGTTTAACGTAGCAAAATATAGGGAAAAAAAGAAAATAGTTAAATAAATAAATGCATGTCCGCAAGAACTTTTTTGTATTCAGCTTAGGATTAGGATTTCCAATTTATATACGATCCCTTTCTTCATATCTGTTCAGAATTAGGATTTCTACTTGTTATATATAAATATGTCAGTAATGCTTTTTATTTCTTCACTATATCTACTGCTGTTCTTCAATAAACGAGAGAGAAAGAAACGAGAGAGAAAGATGATGAGAATTATGAATATCGATGATGGTGGGTCTTTTGATAAACTTCTAGCAGAAATTAGAGAAGAAGAAAAAGATGAATCCAAAGTATTGGAGTTGCTTCAATGTAAAATTCTTAGGAATTTTCTGCGTAGTTTTGAAACGGCAGCTAGTAATAGACCTATGGAGGGAGGTGATCGTTTAGGTGCTTGGCAGCTAGTAATAGACCTATGGAGGGAGGTGATCGTTTAGGTGCTTCTGTAACTAAAAGAAGGAGAGGCAGCTCTGGAAAAGACATATTCATGGGGGAAACTTACGGAAACAAAGAAGAAAAAATTGAAGAATGTGCAAAAGAAGAAGAAAGGGAAAGCAAGAGACTTGAAAAGCCAAAGAAGTCGACTAAGACTAAGAGAGTAGATTTTAAAAAATTGGGGTTAGAGCCACCGCCAGATCTTCCCGATGAATGGAAGAGGGAAATTATTAGAAAAGGAGGTACTGATACCAAGTTAGTGATAATGAAACAAATATTTAAGACTGATACAAGCGCCCATCATGATCGTTTTACAATTCCTTGGAAGCAAGTAAAAGATCATGAGTTTCTTACTATGGATGATAGAAGAAAAATAGATTCGCCCAAAGATACTTTTTCTGTTAGCCTAATGGAACCATGTGGGCATGAGTCTGAGTTAGTTTTAAGGCGATGGAACTTCCAAAATAAGAAATCATTTTCATTAGCTTTAACTACTAGATGGAAGGAAGTTTTAGAAAGAAATTTTACTGGAATGGATGAAATTACCATAATACAACTTTGGTCATTTCGGGTTAATGGAAAACTTTGGTTTGCTTTGATTAGAGTTCCAAAAGAACTATATCATCATCATCTCACTGATGATGAGTGAGTTTACATTGCAATGTCTTGTATTGAATGTAATATTGACAATATGAGAAGATTAATTTGAAAAAGAATGCTACAATTTTTTGTGTGAATTGTTTTCCTTTCGTACTAGTGTTTTTTTTCTTAGGGATCCAGCAGATGCATAAATGCATCGGTAGTGTTTGTTATTTTCTTCTGAATTTCTTTTGCTGCTTGATGTAGAATCAGAAAGAACAAAGGCAAACAAGGAACAAATCCTTAAGAAAGAGAGAAATTAATTCTCAATTGTATTATTCACAAACAATTCTCATACCAAAGTCTGATCACAATGTAAATAACTTAGCCTATTTTTACTGTTTGAATAACTCTAGGAATATTAGGATTAGGATTCATAATTTAATTAGGAATACACAATCACAAATCCTAATTTCTATTTTGTATCTTTATATTTTTTTTAATAAAATAAGTACTCCTAAAATCTTTAGGAGTTGGATTTTCATCACTGCTATTATGCACTGGATGAACAAGAGAATGGTTTCTGGGTCACTTGAGGTCCTCAATGTCCTTGTGCATGATTCCTCAACAGTCCTCAGAAGGTTTCATGCATAGTTGCACACAACTACGTGTGGAGTCTCTGATTCAGGTGAGTTGTTTGCTTTCTGTTTTAACTTTTTGTGTGTTTTATATATATATATATATTTCTATTGCTCTTCAACTTTGTTGAAGGTCTAGTTTTGGTGCTGCAGATTTCTAGTTGGGTAGAGGAGTTGCAGTTTCTCTAACTTTCCTTGTGTTTTTAGGTGCCACTGCGACTACTCAAGGCTTAAGATTTATTAATCCAATTTTTGGGAATTAGGTTACAATTTTTGATTTGGTGATTATTAATCTTAGTAACTTCATAGGATATTATTGTAATTTACTGCACAGAGTACAAATATATTCTAAATTCTGTTCTCCAAGTAAGTCAAATGCTATGGCAGTGACGTTGCATATTAGGAGTGAAATAGTGGGAAAAAGGTGGAATGGAAACTGAAGTCTTTAATTTTATATTTTTAAGGGTGACTAGTTATTTACTTCCTCGGTTCCCATTGAAATTACTAATACATCCCTACTAGTTATTTACGTATAATATGTTATATTGACTATTTAATTTTTTATATCTAATGTGACTTTATTATTTAGTTACTCATATTTACTATTGAATACTATTTGGTCTCTTATTTAACTATAGAAATCGTATTTTCTAAAAGAAAGGACAAAATAATTTAACATTATAATAATGAATTAGAAATGCTGCTGAACAATGGGGATGCAATAATAATTTTGACTAAGATTTAGAGACTAAATAGTTAATTATCATATTTTTCAAAATAATGAAGTCTCTCTAAAGGTATATTCCATAGTATTCGAATAATATTAGTTTTTTTAGTAGCTGTAACTGTTAGTTGTTTATAGAGCATTTTAAATTAAAAATATTGTTTAATTAGTTGAATTTGAGGGGAAAAATAATGGGTATAATTATTAAAACCAAATTAATTAGTTCCTTTAAAACAATAAATGTTAGAGTGTTTAACGTTTTATAAAAAATCTTTCTGAAATTGTAAAAGTAATTATAGAAATATAAATGCTGAAAATTAATTTAAAAGTTTTATAAAAAGCGCGGTCAAATTATAAAGGTAATTATAAAACTATAAATACTGAAAGTTAATTTAAAAGCTGTTGCCCATTAAACTTAAATATGTATGGATAAAATGTAACCATTAATTGTAATGTTCCATACAGTGATCGTAGAAATATTTATTAGAGTCTAGCAATTTGAAAAGAAAATATCTGAGTTTAAAAATTAAATAACTTTTAACCAATGAGGTTTATTTTTTTGTTTCCATTTAATTCTTTAATTAGACAAATATATATTTTTTTTTTGATAAGTTTAAGGACATTCTTATACCCCATTAGGAATCAAAATCAAACAGATACGAGTCAATTTTAAACTATTTACATCCCTTTCAAACTTGTTTTATGTATTTATATTTAACCAATTTAAAATTTTATATCTGTATTTATCATAAATTCATTTAACATACCCATAAATATTTACAATCAGACTCATTTAATATAGTGGGGAGCATGCATATACAGATTTATTCTTGTATCATATTTTTACCCATTACGGATAGTAATTTTATTATCTAAATTCATCTAAATCCATTTTCGACAATTCAAACTTTCGTTAAATAGATCAAAGCAGAGCAGATAGCCGAAAATTCTTGCTCCACTTCCACCCCAACACTCAACCTATGCATATAGTCATATAGGAATTATTGTTTGGATCCTAACTTAAAAAATCGAACATTGATCATCAAGAGGAGAAGTAACTTGTTTTACCAACAGAGTTGCTCCTTCTTCCTTAGAATACAATTTAGAGAAGAGAAGATTTTAACGAGTCGAGGTCTAATCTAATCAGTTTTTTTCTTCAGTTTCTTAGATCGTGTGGGAAAATTTGACAAAAGTAGGAGATTTCAATTTCCTGGTTCTTCACACACGTGCTTGCTAGCTTGTATAATAATTCAGAATTATGACTTCATGGTCATTGGCCTTCCAGCAGCAAACAAATGAATAACTGAATGAGCAAAGCTCTTAGTGAATCCAACAAGAAAAAGAAAAATGAAAGAATTGTCAAATAGACCAAGTCAATCATATTATATAGATGCAATTCCGACAAAGCATATCTTGATTACTTCTTGAAAGCTATTATTTAAAAGAACTGAGGATATATGAAAGGATGAAACCTTCAACACGGTGGACGACTCCCTCTCTCTCACTTAATTTCTCTATAAAAAGGTTCATTAAACCCACCAGCCACCATACACAACCTAATCTCTTTACCTACACATTACATATCCTGAAATGGCTTCTAAATACTTTTTTCTGTTAGGGCTTCTTGCTTTCATTTGCTGTCTTGCCTTTGCTGATCATAGTCCTCTTCAAGATTTCTGTGTGGCTGACCCCACCGGCTCAGGTATTCTTAGTTCCAGCATATGTCATTGTTGATTATAGCTATCACTAGTCTCATAGATTTTACCAGTAACCTACTGGTCATTACTTAGTTTATTATCAACTTTCCCCACATATTTCATTATTTCTAATAAAATGTTATATTCACTGGCAGTTCTAGTGAATGGTTTATCATGCAAGGACCCAAAGCAAGTTGAAGCAAGTGATTTCTTCTTCAGTGGGCTTCACATAGCAGGCAACACAGCAACTCCAGTAGGTTCAAGAGTGACCCCAGTCACGGTAACCCAATTACCAGGTCTAAACACTCTCGGGATCTCTTTGGCTCGTGTAGACTTTGCACCATGGGGTATTAACCCTCCACACACACATCCAAGAGCTACTGAAATTTTGACCGTTTTGGAGGGTAGCCTCGAAGTAGGGTTTGTGACTTCTAATCCAGACCACCCCAGTCACGGTTAACCCAATTACCAAGGTCCTAACACTCTCCGGGATCTCTTCTTTGGCCTCGGGGATCTCTTTGGCTCGTGTAGACTTTGCACCATGGGGTATTAACCCTCCACACACACATCCAAGAGCTACTGAAATTTTGACCGTTTTGGAGGGTAGCCTCGAAGTAGGGTTTGTGACTTCTAATCCAGACAACCGTCTTATTACCAAAGTGCTTAAAAAGGGTGATGTCTTTGTTTTCCCTATTGGTCTTATTCACTACCAAAAGAATGTTGGATATGGTAAAGCTGTTGCTATCGCTGCTCTGAGCAGTCAGAACCCAGGAGTCATAACCATTGCTAATGCAATATTTGGGTCAAAGCCTGGCATTTCTAGTGATATTCTTGGAAAAGCTTTTCAAGTTGACAAGAATACAATTTCTCAACTTCAAGCTAAGTTCTAGGTTTAAAGGCAAAGGACGGAAATTGTTTCTGTGTTTTAGATTGTATTTGTTGATTTATGTATGCAACTGTTCTTGTATTGATCATCTTGGCCAGTGTGTAATCATTTATTCATTTGAGTATTAATGAATGTGTTATAATTTACCAACATGGACGTCAGGAGCAATTAATCAAATTCATTAATAACTTCGCTGATTTTACTTTGAATACAAAATGTCTAAGTTATTTTGATTGGATTTATCTTCTCACTACAAGGCATTTATTTTACTTTTTAGTTAATGAACGAACATGAGCCAAACACAAAGCCAAACACAAAGAAAACTCTAAAACTCAAAAACAAAGAAGCTGCCGTTCTAAATCAAAGAAAACCCTAAAACTCAAACACAACATTTCCTATTTATATCAAACCCATATACCATACCCTTTTTTCACTTAACCCGAATCCACCCAATAAAAATCCATAGATACAGATACCTTTTATTTCACTTAACCGGATCCACCCAATAACCCGAACTAACCCCAAAACCATATGAACCCATGTACAGATAAACCCTATTTATACAGCTGTCATTCAGTTACAATGAGAAAATATACTATACAGTATCCGTAGGATTAAGAGCTATACATAGTACACCTTGTAAATTATAATAGAACATAGTAATACAGCCTCGTCATTCAATTGAAGAAAGTAACAAATCTTCATTGGTTCTTTCCTGCATTTCTGTTCATGCCGGGTATCAGTTAGCCTGATCTGGTAATCTGAAATAGGCCTAAAAGGCTTCAATTCAAGCTTTTCTCCTGAAACATTGTGCAGAACAATATAATCATGAACAATGAGAGACACAAATGTTGAATCAGAAACTTATAAAGTTTCTGCTCTGAAAAATTCAGCTTCAAACCTCATAATAATCTCCTTGAATGGCCGGGCAACTTCCTTGTCATGGAGCAGATCTATGACCAAGATCTATGACCATAGCTTTGAAGGCCAGAGACAAGTATGAATTTGTCACTGGTGAAGAACAAGAACCTGTAGCTGGATCTCCATTGAGAAAGAGATGGCAGAGAATCGACAATTTGGTAACATCCTGGATCCTAAACTCTATTTCAAAAGATTTGGTTGAAGCATTTCTGTATTATCAAACTTCCAAAGATCTCTGGAATGAACTGTCCACTAGGTATGGTGAATCCAATGGACCTATGATTTACCAAATAAAAAAAGATATTTCAGTAACTGTACAAGGTAACCAAACAGTAGCTAATTACTACACAAAACTTAAAAAATTCTGGGATGAATTGGCTTGTTTAAGGCCCATTCCCAAGTGCATCTGTGGAATTGTAGAAGGATGTACCTGTGGTGTTATGAGAGCAGTTTCAGATCTAGATGGAGAAGAAAAACTCATGCAATTCCTCTTAGGAAGAAGAAAAACTCATGCAATTCCTCTTAGGATTAAATGATACATATGACAATGTTAAGAATCAAATCCTTCTTATGGATCCATTTCCAAGCATGAGTAAAGCTTATTGAATGGTGCTGAGTGTTGAAAAACAGAGGGAGGTAAATACTGTGATCTATGATTCAAGCGAGAATAGCAGTGCAATGTATGTGCAAAAATCAAATTACAACAACAAAAATACAAGTCACAATTTCAGATCTAAGATTGAGAAGCATTGTGATCACTGCAAAGGGATTGAGAGCATTGTGATCACTGGGCAAAGGAACTGTCACACCGAGAGAAAGCTGTGTTTTAACTAACTGGTTATAGGCAGATATGGTTTACTGAACTCCAAAGAAGAAGAAGAAAATCAAGCCATTATGTGCCAAAGCAAGTGATGCAGGCCAGCATGAGTGCTAATGGTCAGGAGGCAATGAAAAATGATGTGTCCCAGAATGGTGAGCATGGGAGATCGGCGAGGCGTGCATTGCGCAAGGAGATAAAAATGCAGTATGATGATATGGGAGCAAGGAGACACCTAATAGCAGGAGACACACCTATAGCCAATGCAGTCAGTTTTGCAGGTATTGTCTCTCTTTTTCATTATAATGTGCATGATAAATGTGAATTAGTTCCATGGATTGTTGACAATGGTGCAACTGATCATATGACATACATGCATCATCTATTTCATACATTAACCAAATTACCCAAACCTAGAATAGTAACCTTACCTGATAACTCCACCAGAACTATAACACATATTGGCAAGATCAAAATACATGACAGATTGGTGTTAAAGGATGTGTTATATATACCAACATTCAAATGCAATTTATTATCTGCATCAGCCCTTGCAAAAGACAATGCAATATCAGTAAAAACCCTACCTGACCACTGTTTATTATAGGATTTGCAGACTGATGAAGTAGTAGCTATTGGCAAGTTAAGTGGAGGCTTGTATTTTCTTGATAAGAAGTGTTTTGTGCCTGTTAGTAGTACTGAAGCTCTACTTACTTGTACTACACATGATGATCATTTGAGACTATTATGGCATCTTAGATTGGGTCATATCTCAATGGCTAGACAAAATCATATAATGAATTTTAATACAAGCAGTGGTACTCTTACTTGTAATGTTTGCCCTTTTGCAAAACAACAAAGACTACCATTTTATCCAAGTTGTAATAATGTTAAAGGCATATTTGATTTAGTACATATTGACCTATGGGGACCTTATCCAATTACTTCTTTAACTGGTGCCAGATATATGCTCACTATTGTGGATGATTATAGCAGATACACATGGGCCTACATGCTACCAAACAAACAACAAGTCCACTCAATCCTTGACCACTTTACCAACCTAATAGACACCCAATTTCATACCAAAATCAAGACAATAAGGACTGATAATGGCACTGAATTTGTGAATAATGTAGTGAAGACATTATTAAGGACTGATATGGGCACTGAGAATTTGTGAATAATGTAAGGGAAGACCATTTATTCCTGTTTCTAAGGAATATACACCATCAACCTAATCTGGGCCCTTTATTCCCCACGCAAAATGGGGAAGAGAAGGAGAAAAACACAAAAGAAATTTTGAATATGGGAGAGCCCTACTATATATTCAGGCTAAATTTTCCTAAAATTTTTTTTATATCTGTTCTCCTATCTGCATTTCCTGACAATGAGTGCCTTTTGGGCACTCTTACGAATGTTAAGCCCTTTTGAAAAACTACACCAAACAAAACCAGACCTGACACACAAACAAAACCAGACCTGACACACTTGAAAGTTATAGGCTGCCTGTGTTTTGCAACCAATACTAAACCACACAAAGACAAGTTTGATCCTAGAGCTAAATCATGTGTGTTGCTGGGTTATGGGGCTCAACAAAAGGGTTACAAGATTTATGATATGCACACTAAGCAGATTTTTTACTCAAGGGATGTTATATTTAAGGAAACAGTTTACCCCTTCCATCACAACACCCCTCTCGAGTCTTGTACATTCAACATTCCAACATGTTTAGAAGATACTAACTCACCAATCCCTACCCATCCAATCCCACCTACAGACGTGCCTAACCAGGACCAAATTGACCAACAGCCTACACCTACAAATGACCTAGACAACCAACCAATCACCCAAACAGACAATAATCAGACATTACACATAGACCAACCAGTTACATCACTTAGAAGAAGTATAAGAAATTCCAGACCACCTGCATGGATGATAGATTATGTCACAAATTGTGCAAATTCCAGTCCCAAGACCACCTTGCATGGATAGATGAGACTTATTCACAAATTGCTGCAAATTCGCGTACCAAAGCCCTTTTTCCACTCAATTCACCCTATTCACATGGCATATGTATGCCATTTTCGAATCTAAATGTCAACAAAGTTAATGAACCAATGTCATACTCAATCAATGGCTAATTCCTAATGAAAATTGGGTGTCAAGCAATGCAAAATGAAGCTGCAGGCCTTGATAGACAAATGGTACATGGATTTTAAAACTGAGTTTCCTAGAAGGGAAAACGGGCCATTGGAATCAAATGGTATAACCGGGTCCAAAATATAAAACAGGAAATGGGACTGGTAGCCCGATACCACAGCTCGCTGGTTGCTAAGGAGGTAGTCAACATCAAAAACTAGGCATGAACTACATGAACAGTTTTTCTCCTGCTGTGCTAAATTGGGACTAGTGAGAGGATTTTATGTTGCTCACGGCTGAGGGAAACGGGCCATTGGATGCAAATGGGTATACCGGGTCAAATATAAACAGGATGGGACTGTAGACAGATACAAAGCTCGCCTGGTTGCTAAGGGGTTCAATCAAAAACTAGGCATTGACTACAATGACAGTTTTTCTCCTGTTGCTAAAATGGTGACTGTAAGAATTTTATTTGCTCTAGCTGCTAAATACTAATGGAATCTTCACCAACTTGATATTAACAATGCCTACCTACATGGTTTTCTTGATGAAGACATCTACATGCAACCCCCAGCTGGCTATTTTAAGGCTTCTAATGGCCAAGTATGCAAACTGACTAAATCCCTCTACGGTCTAAAACAAGCTGGCAGAATGTGGAACCAGGAATTGACTACTACTTTACTACAGTATGGATTTCAACAATCAATGAATGATCACTGTCTATTTACCAAAGGAGAGGGTAAAGAATTTCTAGCACTTATTGTCTACGTGGATGACATTTTAGTTGCTGGCCCTGACATTCAACTCATATGCAATATCAAAGAATTTCTTCATTCCAAATTTACTATCAAAGACCTCGGCCATGCAAGATTTTTCTTGGGTATTGAAATCCTTTGGTCCAGTGATGGCATATATTTATCACAAAGGAAATTCATTCAAGATATGCTGTTAGATTCAAACATGCAGCACGCCAAACATGCTTCCACACCATTAATACAAGGTCAAAAGATTCATGCAAACATGGGACCATTACTCACAGAACCAGACAGCTATCGTAGACTAGTGGGGAGATTACTTTACCTGAGTTTTACCCGACCTGACATTACTTACTCTGTTCAACAATTATCTCAGCACATGCAACATCCCTGTCAGGGTCACATGGTCGTCGCCTCTCATGTTCTACTCTACTTAGCCTCTACCACAGATTTAAAGTTATTTTTTCCTACCTCTTCAGTGCTTGATCTCCAAGCGTACTGTGACGCTGATTGGGGGGCTTGCATTGAGACTCGCCGGTCCCTTACTGGTTACTGTGTTTTTCTGGGTACCTCGCTCATCTCATGGAAAACAAAAAAACAAACTGTTGTTAGTCGCTCCTCCGCCGAAGCAGAATACAGATCTATGGCTAATACAGTGTGCGAAATTATTTGGATTGACAAAATCCTCACAGATCTACAAGTCAAAGTACAAAAGCCCATACCTTTGTTCTGTGACAACCAAGCTGCGCTGCATATCGCCGCCAACCCAGTTTATCACGAGCGCACCAAGCACATCGATATCGACTGCCATCTCATCCGCCATCACATCCAATCTGGTCTCATTGCAACAAAACATCTACCTTCCTCGTCTCAGCTTGCTGATATTTTCACCAAAATGTTACCCATTTCTCATTTTCGTCTCATGCCTGTCAAGTTGGGCTTGGTTTCCTTACCCCAGCTCCAACTTGAGGGGGGCGTGAATGAACATGAGCCAAACACAAAGCCAAACACAAAGAAAACCCTAAAACTCAAAAACAAAGAAGCTGCTGTTCTAAATCAAAGAAAACCCTAAAACTCAAACACAACATTTCCTATTTATATCAAACCCATATACCATACCCTTTTTTCACTTAACCCGAATCCACCCAATAATTTTTATCACTTAAACCCGAATCCACCAATAAGCCCAACTACCCCACACCCATTAACCCATACAATAAAACCCATAACCCATTAACCCATACAATAAACCCATTTTACAGCTGTAATTCAGTTACATGAGGAAATATACTATACAGTAGTCCCTAGGATTAGACTATACAATACACTTGTAAATATAAATAGAACATAGTGTACAGCTCTCAATTCAATTGAAGAAAGATACAAATTCTTCATTTCTTTCTACATTTCTGTTCAGTTAATTAAGATGGAATTACTTGCCTGCAATTTATTTATTTATTTATTTTTAAATCCAAAAAACACTTAGAATTAATAAAAATTCATAAGTACATTTGAAATGAAATGCTAAACATGTAAACTAGCGTGAGAATATGAAATTCTGACAAGAGAATGAACGTTCATATTTATTTGTCTACACACTCATCTAATAGAAATATCTAATCTGTTAGGTAATAGAATTTTACGGTCTTGGATAATTTTGCACACAATTTATATATTATGAAAGAATTACAATGCCATCACCAAAATTACCGCGATGAAGCAATGTTGTTTTTGATCGTGTCGATACTTCGTCCTTCGTTGAAATGAATCAAATGATATTGATAATCCTAACTACTTGTAGACATTAGTAGCTACTGGGTACTTGGCTATGGCTACGAAAATTGGTAGATATGCTCATGAGCTACTTGTAATTCAGATTGTTTTCTTTTTCTTTTTTCTCATAAATATATTAGAACTATAGATTTTATTAAAATTTTTGACATATATATTTTTAATTCCGGTTCCTTAACAGTTCGAAATCGACGGTTTCGGCCGGTTTCCGATTGATTTTTCGGAGAATCGCATAATTATAAAGTAAAAATTAGGGAATATTTTTTTTTTTGAAAATTTAAAATTTAAATATTTAAGAAATAATTTTTAGAAAAAACTTTAAGAAAAAACTAATAAAAAAACTTAACATAATTTATTTGTTTAAGAAAAAGCTTGAAATTTTTTTTTTTAGAAAAAGGGCTTGAACGAATAGTGGAGAGAACTTTGTGTGAGGATAGATAAAAATAATGAGTATTTATAAAATTCAAAAAATCAACTTTCCATAAATACCCTTAAAAACTAGTCGTCATATAATTGTTAGGATGGTTAATTTGGAGATTTCACAAAAACTTTTAAAAAAGTAAAAAAATTCTGCTGGAACCCTTAAAACTAGTCGTTATATAGTTGTTAGAAGGGTTAATTTGGGAATTTCACAAAAATATTTTTTAAAAAAATTTGTTGGAACTCGAGGGAACCACCAGTTCGAACCATAGGAACCGCCGGTTAACGTTCCTCAAAAATTGAAACTGGAACCGGACAGCAGACCCCCGGTTTCGATTCCGGTTCCAGTTCAGACCGGTTTCAGTTTCTCATGGTTTTCAGGCCTAGTTCCCACTTGTTCTGAACCGGCAGTTCTGGTTCTAAAAACCGTGAAATGACCATCCTACCTACTAGTAATCAGATGACTCTAAGCATTAACATAAACACTAAATCAATAAGGCTAGTATTTTCATTTGGTAAAAACAGTTTACATGCTTTCTAGCTTGTATATAAGAATTGAGAATTATGAATTCATTGCCATTTGGCATTCTCCTATTTAACCAAATAATAAATAAATTAGGAAAGATCTTAATTATTAGAGAATCCAAAAAGAAAACAAATTCAATAATTAACAATTATTAGACCAAGTCCATCATATTTTGTAAATGCTATCCTGAAACGCCTATTTTGATTAATTCTTGAAAGCTATTATTTAAAAGAACTTCATAAATAAAAGTTTAAAAAGAAAAAACACTCATGGAAGAAGACAATGCAGTTCTTTTTATACATATTGCGACTCTTTCTCTCTCTCTATATATATAAAATGATGAATCCTTCAACACGGTGGACGGCTGCCTCTTTCTCAGTTAATTTTCTCTATAAAAGGACCACTAAACCTACACATTTTCACATCCAATCTTCCAATCTCTTTACTTAGATATTTCATTATTTGAAATGGCTTCTAAAAACATTTTTCTGTTAGGGCTTCTTGCTTTCACTTGCTCTCTTGCCCTTGCTGATCATAGTCCACTTCAAGATTTCTGTGTGGCCGACCCCTCCCGGTCAGGTATATATTCCTAATTTCAGTATCAATCATTCTTAATTATAGCTATAGCTACTCTTTTCGTTTCTCATAGATTTTGCTAGTTCTGAAGATGATTTTAGTACGCTTAGGTTAAATTAAATGATACAATTCTTGATGGGTTAGAAAAAGCATGCACGTTGATTGGTATATTTCATGCACATGCGGTACAATCATACATCAAAGTACAGTAACCTATATAATTTCAATTTGATCAGTAACAAATTGGTGTATTTCACTAATTCTAATAAAACATTCTATCAAATGGCAGTTCTTGTGAATGGTTTAACATGCAAGGACCCAAAGCAGGTTCAAGCAAGTGATTTCTTCTTCAGTGGGCTTCATATAGCAGGCGACACATCAAGTCCAGTAGGTTCAAAAGTGACCCCAGTTACAGCATCCCAATTGCCAGGCCTAAACACTCTTGGAATCTCTTTGGCTCGTATAGACTTTGCACCGTCTGGAATTAACCCTCCACACACACATCCAAGGGCTACTGAAATTTTGACCGTTTTGGAAGGTAGCCTTGAAGTCGGGTTTGTGACTTCTAATCCAGACAACCGTCTTATTACCAAAGTGCTGAATAAGGGTGATGTCTTTGTTTTCCCTATTGGTCTTATTCACTTCCAAAAGAATGTTGGATATGGTAAAGCTGTTGCTATAGCTGCTCTGAGCAGTCAAAACCCAGGAGTCATAACCATTGCTAATGCAGTGTTTGGGTCAAAGCCTGGCATTTCTAGTGATATTCTTGGAAAAGCTTTCCAAGTTGACAAGAATATAATTTCTCAACTTCAAGCTAAGTTCTAAGTTTAAAGGCAAAGGATTAAATTCATTTGGAAATTTTTTCTGTGTGTTTTAGAGTGTATTTGTTGATTTATGTGTGCAACTGTTCTTCTTATATTGATCATTTTGGCTATTGTGTAATCAGTGTATTAGTGGATGTGTTATTATTTTTTCTGTTGAAATTTGGCTATAGAATGAAAAATGCTTTTTTGTTTTTTTCCAGAAAACAAGGTTTTTTCAAAGCATTCACAGGAAAAAAAGATACAGTGGAAACAATTTTAAAAAAATCTTTATTGTAATTGGTTTATGTCTATGCAGGGGCTTATAGACCAGATACAAGTTTATTCATAAATATTATATTAATTCATGGGTTCAGTTAAATTTAACAGTTTTTTACCTTTTTTTTTTTTTTAATTTAGATGGAAATTACTTGCCTACACCGGTGTATGACCACACTTATGGACTAAACAAATGGAACTAAAGATTTTTTAAAAAATATCCCGACATTATCATTTTTTTCTAATTTATGGTCAGAAATACTATCGTTTCAATAAAAATTTCTATTGAGAACAAAAGTACTAATCTGAATTCATTTAGGAATATAGAATGGTAAATAGGTATCCTGCTAAATAGAAATCTTAAACACCTAAAAAATACTTGAAAAATAAGAAAACTGAAATAAAACTAGGAAACTACTATAATATGATTACATTGAAGTAAATAAAATAATTATTATAGGCACTGTGTCGTACAAAAAAACCACTAATTGACATAAAACGAGAGCGATTACTGAGTTTGGGCTCAAATTTGCAGCGAATTTTGTAAAATTGTTCTCTAATAGTAATAACCTATGAGGCTTTGAAAGTGATAAGATGACGCAGAGATGAGGAGAAATAAGAGAAAACGTGATCAAGCAGAAGAAGGTTATGAACAAGCCCAGCATTAGTCATAACTTTCAAATGCCCCCAATTGACACTTGCTGGCAAATCTCCTTCAATTTGGGTCTTGATTGAGGTTTTAGACCATTTGGATATGAGGTTCTAATATTTTAGAGTATATACGCTCGTACACACGTGAACTTATAAGTGAATGTTGAAAATCGCTTGCAATACCAATTGGTTTTTACTACATGCATTACCCATTCGATCATAAGTCATTTAGTTACTTTCTATTAATCAAAGTGAGATTTACTTCCTACCAATTATTTGTTTTCAATAACCAAAAAAAAAAAAAAAAAAAAAAAAAAAAAAAAAAAATCCTATACCAATTATTTGTTTTTCAATACCAAAAAAAAAAAAAAAAAAAAAAAAAAGAAAGAAGAAAAATGGTGAAGGAGACACCCAAATTTTCACTTTCTTATCAAATAATGTCGGGTAAAAAAAAAAAAAAAAAAAAAAAAAAGAAAAAGAAAAATGGTGAAAGAGACACCAATTTTCACTTTCTTATCAAATAATGTTCGGGTTGAAACACCTTGGCGAGGTCAAAGTGATGTACAAAAGAATAAACAAACTATATACTAGCAAAAGACATTTTAAGCTTAAAGGTAAAACCTTAGTCCAGGAACAAAACCGTACGGGTTTGGTACAAAACCAACAATATCTTGCTATATAGGCAATTTGATCATGTTGAATGAATTCTTAAATTTGTTCTTGTTATGTTTAATGATAGTTGATGTAATGAGGCATCGTTTGCTTAGAATCCCTAAAATGCCAGCTGTAGAAAATTTATCAGGATTTTTTTCCACTCTCTTCGATAAGTCTAATTATACCCAAAATGCAGTTTCCTAAGGTGTGTTTCTTTCTGTCTCTATACTCCTTTCGTCCCATTTTATTTATATGATTTGACAAAACATACATATTAAGAAATTAGTTAACAAAAAATATTTTGTCCTTTTCACCCCTAACTCATTAAAATATTAATAAAGTTCCTTCATTTAATGAACAATCATAAAGGTTATTATGAAAAAAATAATTATTTAAATATATAAATTTAAAACTTTGCAAATATTTTGGAAAATCGAAAAAAGGAATAACAAGGAAACAAAATGGGACGGAGGGAGTAATAATGTTTGAATTTAAAATTCTAAGCTGTTTGTCTTTAGAGAACGAAGAATATATAACATACATTTTGTTAAAAGGCATCTGTTTGTTATGTTTTTCTTGGGTTTAGGTTATAATTTATACATTTTACTACGTTTTGTTTCTTCTTTTGGACTATGTTATGGCAGCACTGCATACCTTTTTCCCCCCTTAAGTTTATAATGTTAGTCATTAATTGTTTCTTTTCCCCCTTAACAAACATAAAATGAAAGCATCGATCATTTGTTATAATTTTCTCTGTGAATGGAAGATAATTTTCATTTTGTCTTTTATTTCAAGAATGCACTTTCTGAATTTCTTGTCCTGCCAATCTGAGTTTTTAGCAAGGGGTAATATTGGATTACAAAGCGTGATCTATTGGAAGGATTATCACAGGCCACTTCTACTTCCATAGACAGTAACAGAAATGCAAAATTGCAGTTTATATTTTAACTTCATTTCTAATGGTAGTGCAAGCGGCCTACTATACTGCAGGCTAATACTCCAAAAATAGTTATTCTTCTCTTATTCTAATCATGGCTATTCGACAAATTGATAAATCAAACAGTTTGGTAGGTGATTAATAACTTAACTTTGCATTATATGGGTCTTTTGTTCTGTAGTTGCATGTTCATTTTGGGCGAAAACAGCAGTATTTAATAATCTAATTTTGCAATTTGTCAGCTGTTCACAAGCTTTATAGGTACAGGCAAATATATTACTAGTTAATGGGACATTTTATTATGTGAGGAGTGGAAGGTCTCGAATTCGAATCCTTTCGACTACAATAGTTTTCACCAATTTAGTGAGTTAAGGGGAGGGCTATCTCTTGCTGTGTAACCCTCAGTTTTATTTCGGTACATTGAATCTCCCAATGAATAAAAAATAGAACATTTCATTAATTTGCTTCACTGAAAATTTAATACAAATCAGGCTTGTTTGTGCACTTTTGGCTTCTGTTTAAATTTGTATGAACCAATTAAGCATTGGTAAATGGAGAGAGGCAGAAGGATAAAAAAAACAAGAGGGAAATGCTCTACTTTCTTTCACTCCATGAAACTCCATATTAAGGTATAACATCTTTATTTATTTATTTATTTCTTTGATGATTCATACTTCTTAGGAACAATGAGAATCAAAATCTAACTTTTATAGATATAGCTGTTCTTATGCAACTTTTTTATTTGTTGTTACTGATTACTCTCTTTGTTTCACTTTAATAGTAATAAATCATCATTTTTACTTTGTTCCATTTTAGTGCTTATTTAGGATTTTGAATATATATTAATATTTTTTTTTTCAATTTTACCAATATTTATTAGCTATAATATATTTTTATTTACATTTATTTTTCTCTTTTTATCATTGCTCTAATTGTAGTTAAATTAAAATTTTAACTACACATAACTAAAAGTTTTTCATCATATATCATCAAGGCATGAAAATATGAAATGGAAGTACAACTCTAATTTAATGGCAGTGCTTCAATATGAAATAAAATTAGTATTGATTTAATAGTAAAATTAAATGGAGAGTTTTTAATTTTAAGAAATTGAATTTAAACATACTATTCTAATCATTTTATTATTTTTTGTGAAACGATGAAATGTCAGGATTAAATTAAAACGGAGAAAGTATTATGCAAAATATTAAAGGCAATATGATTTTTGTGATTGAAGAACTGGTTTCTAAATTTTAGAACAGTACTACTAGTAATCCAATCATCATATAATGTTCTTCTGTTTTCCAAAAAAAATTGTGTGTGACAATATAATATTTTCACGCTATAATCCAAGTGTCATTTGGTTGTGCAAGAAGAATTAATTTAAATGTGGTTGACCAAGTCAATGAATAACATACATAAATATTTTATTTTTAATTTGTTCATATTAATTATGAGATGCTTATATTGATAAAGTAAATGTTAAACTCTATCTATATATATAATTAAGGAATCAGAATATATGTAAGGCAAATGCAATTTGGTCATTCGTATTGGACAAACACATTAAGAAGATAATTGATAGAGCCCTTCAACCCAACGGACGGCTGAGCTTGTCTCTCTCTTATTACTTTTTCTCTACAAACTGTTATATATATATTCCTGCAATATCTCTGCTTGCTCCTATAAGTTGAACGGTGAGTCGTTTGTTTTCATTAGTCATGGCTTCCAAAAATTTGCTATTTCTGGGACTCCTACTTGCTTTAAGTCGCTCTCTTGCTTTAGCATCAGATAGTAGTCCTCTTCAAGATTTCTGTGTGGCAAACCCAAATGCTCAAGGTAATCTCCACACACAAATACATATATATATATAACATTGATAGTGAAATTACAATTTTTTTAAAAAATAGTAGTTCTAATTGCTTTTGACTAAATAACAAACGTAAGCCAATATTTTTATAATGGTTTTCAACTAACATATTAAAAGGATATAATTGCAATTGAAGTATTACGTTTTAAGTTTTGTTTCTTACATAATAACTACTTTCCCTTTTGCAGTGCTAGTGAACGGTTTACCATGCAAGGACCCAAAGCAAGTACAAGCAAGTGATTTCTTCTTTACTGGGCTGAACATGGCAGGCAACACATCGAACCAAGTGGGTTCAAGGGTGACCCCAGTCACAGTAGCACAACTACCAGGCCTAAACACTCTCGGGATCTCTTTGGCTCGTATAGACTTTGCACCATCTGGTATTAACCCTCCACACACACATCCAAGAGCTACTGAAATTTTGACCGTTTTGGAGGGTAGCCTTGAAGTAGGGTTTGTGAGTTCTAATCCAGACAATCGTCTTATTACGAAAGTCCTTAATAAGGGTGATGTCTTTGTTTTCCCTATTGGCCTTATTCATTTTCAAAGAAACGTAGCAAAATATAATGCTATTGCCATTGCTGCTCTTAGTAGCCAAAACCCAGGAGTCATAACTATAGCTAATGCAGTTTTTGGGTCAAAGCCTGATATTTCTAGTGATATTCTTGCCAAGGCTTTTCAGGTTGACAAGAATGTGATTTCTCAAATTCAAGCTAAGTTCTAAGTTGAAAGGCGTTGAAATAAGGATTTTTATCCTATTTATTTCAAGGGATTAAATACATATGGAAGTTTTTTCACATGGTTAAAAGTGAATTCTGTTTATTTTTGTGTGCAATTGTTGTTGTTGTATTGATAATATTGCCTATTGAGTAATCACTTGTGCGTATTAATCGATGTGGTAATCATTTTGTATTGAATTTTAGCTAGAAATTGTTATTAAATAATTTATTTTATTTTTGTGTGCAATGTTGTTTTTGTTGTATTGATAATATTGCTATTGAGTAAATCACTTGTGCGGTATTTTAATCGATGTGGGGTAATCATTTTGGTTTTGAATTTTAGCTAGAAATTGTTTTTATTAAATAATTTTATATATATATATATATATATATTATATTATATATATTAAACCATAATAATCTGAAAACAGTTTATATAGTTATTTTATGTTTTATATATAAAACATAATATCTGAAAACAGTTATATAGTTATTTTATGTTTTAACACACATCAACATTAATAAGATATCCGTCACTAGCTATCAGCTATTAACAATCACTATCAGTTGATATGAATATGTAAACCAAATGGGCCTTTAACATTTTGCTTGGATGAAACAATTATGGGTAATGATATTGAAATAAGAAGTTCCTCACTAGCTTTCCATGCATATAATTAAGAGTTTTTCAACTGAAAATTATGGGGAAAAACAACATTTAATTACCCATTCAATGTCTGAATATAGAGAAAGACACAAATAATTTTATATTGAATAAAGAAATTATTTATTAGAATAACAATAACAAGACACTGAACATATATATTAATCCACAGTTCCACACACAGAATTAAAAACTAATAAATAGACACAAATAACTACCAATAAGAAAACACAACTTGCCACTTGCTTCTCCAAGAACTCTTTCTTGTACTGTGTTAATTAGAACTTTGACTGCAAGTACTTAACGACATTCTTGTCCAGTTGGAAAGCTTTAGCAAGAATGTCACTAGGAATATCTGGATTAGACCCAAAAACAGAGTTAGCAATTGTAATGATACCTGGGTTTTGGCTACTTAGACTTGAAAAAGCAAGTGCTTTGCTATTTCCAATATTTCTCTGGAAATGTATAAGACCAAAAGGAAAAACAAACACATCGCCTGGGCTAAGAATTTTTGTAATGAGACGATTTTCAGGGTTCGATGTAACAAATCCGACTTCGAGAGAGCCTTGGACGACAGTGAATATTTCGGCGGCGCGAGGGTGTTTGTGTGGAGGATTGAGACCGTAGGGTGCATAGTCAATGCGAGCAAGAGAGATGCCAAGAGTGTTAAGTCCTGGAATTTTGTCTACGTTAATTAGGGTTACTTTAGAACCTACTGGATTTGATGTATTGCCCGGTAAGTGAAGTCCAGTAAAGGAGAAATCATCGGCTCCGACCATCTTTGGATCCTTACAAGCAAAACCATTCACCGTAACTGCCATAAAAATATCAAGTTAAAAGTGAATATACTTATTTAATAATTCTTAAAATATTGATAAAATTATTTGATATTCAAACTCGAAACTTTCTAATTTTTCATATTTTTCAAAGGAACGAACAAATGAATAAGATGCTATTTTTATACATGAAATTTACGTGAAAAATGAATATATACGATTATGAGTGCTAATGTAGTAAATCTGATGTATTGAATAATTTCTATATAGACATATTGCAGTTCAGCTCCGATAGTAGAATGAAAGAAAAAAGAAAAAGGAATCTAAATACTAAAATCTTAGTCAATGAGAGATATGCAAAGTATTCCAACTTTCCCACAAGCTAATATTCATATGTTACAAATAAGGCTCAAGTTAGTGTTGGATATATAGAGTGTATTCAGTAATACTAGTTGTTTTAGTAGATGTTAGTTATTGTATACAGCAGTTTAAATAAAGTGTTCGATAAAAATAATTGTTTGATTAGTTGTTTAATTTAAAATGACAAAAAATGATATTAGCTATTTAATTAGTCGAATTCGAGTGAAAAAAAAAAAAAAAAAACAATTGGCATGATTGTAAAAAAAATTTAAGTATTCCCTAGAAACCTTAAATGTTAAAGTATTTAAGGTTGCATAAAAGTTCTATTAACCTATAACAGCTGTTATAAATGTTATATTATTAAACTGTACAATTAATAAATATAGAGTTTTCACTTTGTCAAAACGCTAACAGCTAGCTCAAAAGCTATTGCTAAACATGCTTATAGAAGAATAATGGATCAAAATTAAATTTGTGTGACAACTATTATGACGCTTAAACTCAATCAAATGCAAGAGCAAAGGAGAAAGACAGAAATCTGCATGCATACCCGAGCTGCCCACATCTGCAACACAGAAATCTTGAAGTGGGCTGGGATCGAACGCAAGAGCAAAGGAGAAAGACAAGACCAGAAATAATGCTAAAGAAAGAAAGCTAATCAAAGAAGCCATTTCTACGAGTTGTAAGTAAAATAAGTGGTGAAAACATGCTCATATGCACTCTCTTATATAGTGGTTGAAAAAACATGCTCATATTGCATCTCTTTATATATATATATATATATATATATATATATGATATATATATATATATTATATATAGATGTAACTGGAGCTCAAATGTTCAAATTAATGCCGCCCTGTTGAAAGGGTCAATATTAGAATAGGACAAGTGATAGAGAGATTTGCTAAGTCAGGTGTATTAGAAGAAAGAGTCTTCTCCTTCTCTCTATCGTGTATGCCTGACAGGAAAATAATTATGTTTGATGCATTACAGCATGAGGTTTCCAAATTGGTAGGTGATGATTCCTGTAATGCATAGGTGATAAGGTTGCCCTTTTGAATTTGTCCACGCGGACATAAGCTAGTACCAGAATATATATTATATAATCCAAATAGAAAAACCACAGTGCGAAATCCAAACGTCTCTTTTTTCTTTTCTTTTTTTTTTTTTTTTTTAAAGTTGAGTTAAATTAAATCTAACCAGGCCCATTTAACAGAGCTGAGTCCATCCCACCCTAAGAATAAGCAACCCAAATAAAAAAATAGGCAACCTATACCAGTTTAAATATGACAACATCGTATAATATATATGAACTGTAATGGGTGGGACTAGAGGAGGAGTTAATTGACGTTTGGTAAAATTAATTATTATTTTATGTATTTGAGATATTCCCAAAAATTATATATCCGTTAATTATTCGCCATTAAAAAAATTCTTATTTTTTTTTTTTTTTTTTTTAAATTGATTAATTAAATTAACCCATGGCCATACAGACTGAGTCCACCCTAGATAGCAACAATAAAAATAGCATATATACAGTAATATGCAAATCTATAATATATTTGAATGTAAGGTGGGACTAAGGAGGGGAGTAATGAGTTTGGTAAAATTATTATTATTTATATTTGAGATATCCAAAATTATATATCCTTAATTATCGCCAATTAAAAATTTTAATAAAATATAAAGTTTTGACTTTTTTTATTTTCATAATGTTTTCTATAATTTGATTATATTGGATATATTTTTTAAACAAATAAATTTTTTAAGCAAAGATAATCAAGACTTTGAAAATTTTTAAAATTTTTCTTTTTCAAATTTATTATATATTTTTTATTTTTATACAATTTGATTGGATGTATTCTTTTAAAAATCATTTTTTAAAATAAATAGATATAGATAGTCAAGCATTTGTTAAAATTTTCTTTTATGAATTTATTTTTTTAATAAATATATGTATATATTTATTTTTACAATTTTATTATTTTTTTACAGAGAAAAATTACAATGGTTTATGCAGTTTGAAAAATACAATTAGTTCGTCCTTAGATTTTTGAAAATAGACTAATTTTTTTTTATATTTTGCTTCTGTTATACTATTAAATCTTTCTGTCTAATTCTTATACATTTTCTTATGTTATGCTTAAAACTATTTAGAATTAGAATGATACTACATAACAACATAAACAAATTGTCAACATTAACTAGCAAACGTAATAACAATTAAAATAAACCCTTTACTAACTACTCTACATAAAAATATATATAAGGTTATAATAATATAATTCTTAAATTCTATCTATGATGTCCATCATAGCCCAAACTAATAGTACATCATCCATTTAATTTCTTCAGGCTAATTGCTTCAGCAATCGCAACTCTGGTTTGTTAATTCTTTCTCTCTCCATTTAATTATAAGTTAAGTAGTAAGTAGCTTTTTAGTTAGGAAAATTATAAAAAAAAAAAATTTAGAATAAACATAATTATTAAGACAAATATGAAGCATAAAATTTAATAATGGAAAGCATAATTAGCATATAATTAAATATGAAGTACAAAAAACATAAAAATTAATAAGGTAAATATGAAGCATAAAATATATAAAACTTAATAATAGAAAGTATAATTAGCATATATCTTAACATAAAAAACATAAAATTTAATAAGGAAAATATGAACCATACATCTCAGTACATAACCCTAATTAGCATAAGCAAGCATAAAAAGTAATATGCTAATTAAAATATGAATATAATTAGTATATAACCACAATTAGCCAAAGATAACATAAAAAACATAAAACTTAATAATAAAAAAAAGAAAGCATAACCATAATTATGTGTCCTCTTTCTAATACTTCTTATAAATTGACAGTGTATGATGTAGTATTTTAAATTTTGTATATGTTTTGAATATTCGTTGAGTTAAAATTGTTGGTTGAAATTTATGGGATATTATGTATTTGTGGATGTATTATGTTCATTGGAGTCCTAGTATTACTCATTAATGTGGATGTTGACTTACAGAAATTTTTTCTTTTATTTTTGTGTATGTTAAAAATTTTGTGGATGAAATGTGTTAATTGGAAGCCCAGTAGTAGCTATTGTTTTTTTTTTATAGGCAATTTAATTATTTTATTGATTTTTATAAATCTAGGAAAACTTAATATTTTAAGGTGTCAATAGGTTCATCTCAAACAAACCAACTTAGTCCGAAAATATTAGGTAAAAAAACTTGGAACCAAAACAGTACAATATTCATAAGGTACAACTATTACTTTTCTTGAGATAAGAGAATAAATAATTGAAAAAAAACTAAATAGAAACTCCTCATACCCAAGCCACCTTATGCACAAACTCTTTTTTTAGCCAACACATATGCAAAATTATTCTTGCTTCTTTTAACATGACAAAAAACAATGTGTACCAAAGATGAGATCAAACAATTCAATCTATTAAATTTTTTCCACCAATGCCATGGTCTATTGTTTGTGTTCAATATCCATCCAATCGCATTCTTTGAATCAGACTCAACTATTAAAGGGAAAAAAATTCAAATGCAACGAAAAGAAGATTTCAATTGCTTATAGGATTGTCAAGAATTCTGCATCATTTGAGTTTGCAACACTAACTGATTTGCAGAAAATACATAACACTTGACCATGAGAGTTTTTAAGAACACCACCAACTCCTACAGGACCTAACTTTCTAATGGATGATCCATCAATATTGAATTTTAAAAATCTATCAGGTGGATTATCCCAATTTGTGTAGGGGAGGGGTCTAATATTCTGGAAATAGTATAATTAAATCTTTTGCATTTAATAAAAATTAATTTTTTTGATGATGGAGTTACAAATTAATAAATTTAATGGATTATTTCATTATAATTAATATTTTTTGCATTGAATAAATATTGAATTTTTTATTAAATAGTTTTTATCTATCAAAAAAACTAATGAAATTATAATAGAGTCATAATCAAGAAAAATGATTAAATAATAATTACATTAACAAATACAATTAAAATATTAATTTCAATTCACTAAATATTTAATTCATTAAATATTCTTATAATTTACCTAATTTGAATATATGATAATTTTAAAGAGAAAAAAAATAATTAATTAACTCTATCAGTTGAATTACAATAATTTACTTGAAAATTAAATATTTTTATGCTAATTAATATTTCAGTTCATTACTTGAGAATTAAAAAAAAAAAAACCTTATAATTTTACTTTTTATTTTTTAATTAAAATTAAATATGCAAATTATTTAAATTAAAATAACGTAAATATAAATTATAAAAATTTTCTTCAAAATTAAATTCAATTTAATTTTTAAAAATATAAAATTATACAGTCTGCACATCTCGCAGATACATGACTAGTTAATATAGAGGGAGTTTCAAACGCTTTATGTATTAAATAGGATACTATTATATCTTAACTTAATAATTGATTTTTCCAGAAAGTTTGGATTTATTAAACTATTTAATTCTTGGCCCAATATATAAATCACTTCTGTACTTCGTTATGAAAAACTTTATTTATGGCACCTTCAACTCTCATTTTGATCTATTTAATACTTCAATTTATAAAATTGCATCTATTAAATATTTTGATCAACCTATTGAACACCTCAATTTCTAAAATTAAATTGATTAAACACTTATTGGATAGTTAAAAAACATAAAAATTTATTATTCTAAAAGTTCTAGTAACCACATATCAAATCAAAATTTTGTATAAATTATTGTTACCAGTGTGACGAGATACAAAAAGTAAAATTCTGACTGCTACAAAGTTGATTTTAAAATTCAAAGTAGCACAATTTTTTTTTTTTTTAAATGTCAGCGGATTAAATTATGTTTTTGGCCTTTAATTCTTCTATCTTAAAAGTTTCAATATTAATTTTTTATGAAAAAGACTAAAATGTCCCTTTTTTATTATGATTTACCACGGATAAAAAACGCCAGCCACCTACTGCATTCCATCGATCTCTCTCTATCTCCACCTATATCTATGTATTGAAGTTTTTTTCACAAAAAAAAAAAAAAGTTATAGATATTGTATATATAAGTATATGTTAGGGCCCGGTGATAAAAATTATGAGAATAATTATGCAACGGAAAAATAAAAATATGACACACAGAAATTTACGTTGTTTATCCTTAACTGTTTAGGGCTACGTCCACGGACCAATTCCGAATATTTCTTCCACTAAAAATAGTAGGTACACAAAGAGAATAATACAAAATAGTGACACTCAAAAGTGTTTTTCGAAAACAAAAACACTCAAATTATCCTCACTACTTTTCCCTACCCTATTTTTAGGACCCTTCCTAAAACTAGATAACTATTATATCCTTAACTTAAATAAATGATTTTTCCCAGGCGAAAGTTTGGATTTAATTGAAACTATATCTACATGTCTGGCCCCCTAAATAATATAAAATCCACCCTCTGTACTTCGTTATTGGAAAAAACTTCTATTTATAGGGCCACGCTTCCAAACTCCAATTTTGATCTAAAATGTTAATACACGTTCAATTTATAATATGTATCTATCTAAATATTTTCGCCAATCAACCTTATTGAACACCTCCAAATTTCTAAAATTTAATTTTGATTTAAACACTTATTTGGATAGTAAAAAACATAAAGATATTTATTATTCTAAAAGTTCTAGGTTA